AATGCCCCCATAGAAGGATCGGAGGAGCCAAGATGGAGAAGGGGACAGGGAAGGGGTTGAAGCAGGGAGGGACAAAGGCTCTCAGGGATGCTGAAGCAAGGCCGTGCATCCAGCACGCAGACCGTGTACCAAACCCTGCGCTGGGCACAGATCATCGCCGTGAGCGGGGCAGGTGCAGTCCTGGCCTCCTGGGGACTCCAGTGTGAAGGGGAGGCAGGCCCTGGAAACAGGACAGGTGGGGCACTATGGCACACGGGCATGTCCGGGGATTCTGGTCAGCCTGGGCTAGCACAGTGGGCTTTGGGTACCATAGAACCCCTCGAGGGTGGGTCCCAGAATAGCAGAATGAATTTTGGGGCCAAATGGAGGCCTCACCTGTGACAGGAATGCAATGACACCTCCTAGGAATAAAGGGGGCAGCTAGGAGTGCTGGCATGCAGGGTGCTTGTCCAGCCGCAAATGTACATCAACCAAGTTGCTTTGTTCTGGGAGACACAGTGGACAAGGAGGACCAAGCCCCTGCCTGCAGGAAGCATTTCATTACAAACAAGTAATGAAGCAAAACATATACAGGAAAAGTTCAGATCACGATGCATCCCCAAGACACTGTTATCTAGAGCAGCCCCGGGAAAGTCTTGGGGAAGGTGAGGTTTGAGCTGAGAACTCAGCGATGGAAAGAGCCAGTCCTGCCAAGATCTGTTTCCTGCCAGGGGATGTTTAGGCAGAGGAAACAGCAAGTGCAAAGGCCCTGTGGCCGGAAATTCAAGGCCAGCGGGAAAGTGTCCCTGTCTCTGAGACTTCTATCCCTTGAGCTTTCTGTCATCCAGTGTCTCTTTCTACCTGGGCTTCTTAGATGCTATAAAAAAAAAAAAAAAAAAAAAAAAAAAAAAGTACCCCCTTCCCTCAAGCCCACCTGGGGCTCCAGGCCCCTGTCTCTCCAGGCAATGTCAGGGCCTGCACCGAAGAGCTGATGAAATGTGTGTTGGTGGGATGAACAGAGAGTGGCAGGGCAGGGTGGGTGAGGTGTGACCTCTTGTAGTTTAAGGCGCTTGGCCCAGTGATTAGGCCCAACGCTAATGAGGTCAAGGTGGAGGGTTTGATTCTGACACAGCCTGGCCCCTGGTAGGAGGAGCCCTGGATTCCCTGAGTCAACACCAGCCCCCACACGGCCCCACCCTGGCTGTACTGAGCCCTCGACCTCAGCACCTTCCTATGCTTATGACAGCCTGGAAGCTTCTAATTCGTGTTCTGTTCATGTGCTTTTGGTCCATCTCCCAGGCTGTCACGTGGGCGGGGTCTGTCTCCTCACCACGGGGACCTCAGAGCCCAGACTGGTGCCCAGCATGTAGCAGGAGCAGAATCATTTTCCTGGAACTGGTACAAGCTGGGGTTCCTGTCTGTGTTGTTCCCTGATGTGTCCCCAGGGTCTGGCACAGAGTAGGTGCTCAACAACCATTTGTGGAAAGAGTGAATGTATTCAGTGACCGCAGGAAGTACTTGCCCTCTCTGAGTCTCAGTTCCTCCTCTGAAAGAGTTTAACAATTCCGCCCTCACAGGGTGAGGTAAAGGGGCATGGCTTAGGGTTTAGCTGGAGGAGCACAGATAGCTCCTGAGCCTCTGCATGGAGGTGCTGCTTGACCAGCAGCAGCTTCCTCCTCCTTCCTGCTTCCCCTCACTGGCTTAGTCACACCTGACTGTGTCACCAGGCTGGGCGAGGCCTTAGACTGAACAGAGAATGTCAAGGGGGAAGAAGGAAAGGAACAAATGGACTCTCTTCCCCTTCCTTCCTCTTTTTCTCCCATCTCCTCCTCCTTCTTCCTCTCTTCCTCCCTCTCTCTCTTTTCCTCCTAACCCAACATTTGCCAAACACCTCTGAGCACCAGGGCTGGGTGCTCGGGACACTGATATGAGTCCCACATGGTCCCTGCCCTCAGGGAGCTCCTGGTCTCAGGCAGCAGCAAACGAGGCAAAAAACGAATAACCATGAGAGGTGGGAATTTGTTCTCAGCCTCAAGTGGGGGCTCAGAGTAGCAAGATGTGGACCAAGAGGGAGTCTGAGAGACCCCCCAACCTAGACACCCAAGGCCAAGGGAGGTAAGGGCCGGCTGGTGTGAAGATGCTGAGGCCCCAGGATGCGTGGCAGGGGAAGGGAAGACCAGGGGTTGGGTGGCAGCTGGCTGGCAGCAGGGGGCACTGATCATTGCAAGCAGGGGAGGCGTGTCATCAGGTTCCCATTTTAGGAAGATGTTCCGGAGTCTGGGTGGGAGAATATCAGGGAGTGCTAGGATAACAGCCTGGCCCACAGTGAGCCCCTCACCCAGTGGTAGCTCCTGCTTGTTCCAAGGGCAGGGCTGGCACAAGCGGGAGGTCACCTGGGATTTGCAGTTGGCAGCAACTTGGAGAAGGGGCTCTGTCCACCTATTTGAGAGTCACAAGAGGCTCCTGGCTTTGGTAGCATTGCTGGGGATAGATGGAGAAACCCAGGTGGTTGAGGCGGGGCTAGAGTCAGGCCCATTTAAAGTCTGGCCTGGGGCTCTTTCTGGGCCACCCATTGCCCCCTTCCCCACTTTCTCCTTTCAAGAATATGGGGCCTTAGCTGGTTTGGCTCAGTAGAGAGAACATCAGCCTACGGACTAAAGGGTTCCAGGTTCGATTCAGGTCAAGGGCACATGCCTGGGTTGCAAGCTTGATCCCCAGTGGGGGACATACAGGCGGCAGCCAATCAATGATTCTCTCTCATCATTGATGTTTCTTTTTCCCTCTCCCATCCTCTCTGAAATCAATAAAGATGTATATATAAAATAAAATAAAAAGAATATGGGAACAATGTTGAGGACTGGAGACAAGCAGTCCAGACAATGTCATAAGCTCGACCTCTTCCAAGCTGTGCGGCCTCTGGCAGACACTCCTCCCCCTCCAGGCCTCAGGCTCCTCTTAAGGAAACGGGCACCTCAGGAACCCTCAGGCCTCTCGCATCCTAGTATGTGAGGGGTTGTCAGGGTCAACGATGGAGACTGAGGCCTGAACCTCCGTGTCAGAGCTGGAGGGGGCGCTTTTGTACACATCAGGAAACTGAGCCGTGGAGAGAAAATTGGACCTGGTCAAAACCCCTCCAGGTTGGGACAGGAGAGCAGTTAAAACAGAGTGCTTACATGTAAAGGCTGGGTGTGAATGCTGTCTTGGCTCAATAAATATTCCTTAAGTGAAAGAAAACATTACTGAACCTCAGTTTCGTCATCAGTAAAAAGAGAATCCTTAGTGGTTAGTAAGGATTAAATAAGATGATGTGTGGAAAGTGCTTAGCACAGGGACTGACATTCAGTAAGCACTTGATTTAATGGGAATTACAGTGATTGTTTCTCAGACTCAGGCCTCCAAAGCTCAGCTTCGTGGCAGCAGGACCTGGCACGGCATACACGTGTTATTCAGCTGAAAGGATGCATGCCGAAGTGTCAGTCTGGGCCCCCTGTCTCTCCCTTCAGCCATGGACCATCTGATCTGACACTGATTGACACCTGCCTGCTGGGTGGTTGAGGCTGTTTTCTTCCTCTCCCCTCTTTTTCCCAGCTATATGCAAATGATTTCAGTTCAAGTAATGTGCTAATGGAAATCCTAATGCATTAATAAATGTTTAGTGAGAGAGAGCATGCATGATCATAAGTAATTACACACTCAGTGGAGGAGTTCTGTTGGCACAATTGTCTGGCTCCTTTTCTTCATTTTCCTCCATTATCTCCAAAGAGAGATGCAGAGGGAGGCAGGGAAGAAGGGTGGGGCAGGGGTCCAGCTCCTGCACTCACCCCTCTGCAGCTGCTCCCCTCTTCATCCCTCCAATAGGGACCGGTGTTGTGCTCTGTATCAGTATCTAATCATGAGAGTGGTTTTCGACATGTTCCCTTTCTCCTGCTGTCAGGACTTTACAGGATGCGCTTGCTCGCCCTCCTGGGCAGGCAGAGTGGAAGGTGAAGGGAGTGGAGCCTCCGGGACGAACAGCCCAGGGACTTCCCATCAGGGAGGGGTGAGGCCCCAGCACCTCCACCCGTCCCCGTGGCTGTATAATGGAAATCATAGCCCTTCCTCGCAGAGACGCTGTGAGAACCGAGACAACATATGAAACAAACCTGGCACAGAAAAAGTCCCCAGTAAGTATCAGCTCTTCCTCCCCAGCTTCCCATCTGCTACCCCCCCCCTGCCCTTGAGCTATAAATCGGACACTGTTGATGCTCAGGGGAAGGGACCTTAGTGGAATCTCAAGAGGAACCCACTTGCTTTAGGACCTGGATGGAGGGAAGGGAAAAGCCTCAGGTTGGGTTGGAGCCCATGTGGGGCTGGGGGAAAGGCTGTGGAGGAGGGCCTGGCCCCAGCTGGGAAGTATAACCCCCAGGGAGGGCCCTCTTTGCCATCTTCTTTGGAGCCAGGTATTTTATTTTCTTGTCAAGATGGAGCCCCATTAAACCAAAATATATGAATAAATAAACCCTGTTCCCCTACTCACTACCATATTGCCATTTCGATTAGATTAAATTTTAAAAGAACACAAATATAATGTTCCTCTTGGATCAAATTAGAAACAGGTGCACTTTTGCATAAGGAAATTAAATTGCAGACAATATGAAGATTTGCTAAAATGCAGACACTGATGAAAATAAGTAGCCCCTTTATTTGTAATTATTGAGGCAATCTGTTTGCAAAGTGTACATGTTAATGGTCTGACAGATCTCTGGACTCCAGCAGGCTGCCACGAACAACTCAGAACTGTGCTGAAAGTAACAGGTTTGGTTTTTTTTTAGAAAATATATGTACATTCTCTTATCCATATCCTGGAGCTATTTACAAGGTATGAAATGCCATAAATAGGAATTCTGTTGTTACACAAGGCCCCTCCCTAAAATATAAACTTCATCTGGGCAGAACACACACTCTAACAATTTACCTCTTTCTTCTTTCTACTGCCAACTACAAGGTGGCCCAAAGGGAATGGGTGGTCCCCAGGGTGCAGGTCACGGGCTGGGATCGTCAATATGTCTCCGGCAATAGGGGCAGTGGGTGTGCTGAAGTACCAGTAGCTCATAGTCCTCCGAGTGGAACATCTGAGGAGAGACGGTCGGGACTCTGAGCAGCCAATCTAGGTGTGCGTCAGCCCCAAGCCTGGCAAAGACTGTTGCCCTTCCAGTGGTCAGGTTAGAACACCAGATCTACAACACCTTTGTCCAAGGACTGGGAGGAAGGGGTAAGGGTCTGTGGCCCCATGTTTTCTAAATGAAGTTCAAAGGTGAGTCACACTTTTCCCAGCCCTCCCGGAGTAAAGGTACATGCAGACAGCCCAGGGCCAGGACATGATTGTTCCAGACAGCACACGGGATGCAACCCAAAGGAGGGAGGACAGCTGAGTCTCTTCTCCCAACTAGGCCTTGGTTGCTCAGAGATCACTTACCCTCCTCCCAGATGCCCGGCCTCCCCAAGGGGAAATTTGGGAAATGGAAAAGCAACAGAAAGAAGAACCTGAACACCACACAGGAGCTGCAGGCAGTGGGCACAGCACCTGGAAGCAGGAGGGACACGTGGTGATGGAGGCGTCCGGCAGGAAGGAGCGGAAGTACTGCCGCTGCAGGGGCGGGGGCCAGCGCTTGATGAGGACTTCCCGACGGCTCATGGCGCGCAGCACCGACCGACTCACGACCACGGGCACGAACTCCGAGCCACCTTGCTGCAGGGCAGGCAGGAAGCAGAGGGCCCTGGTGCCCTCAGTCACAGTAACACATTTATGTGGGCCATGATCCCAAAATCGTTGGGAGTGGCCAGGAAAGACCCCAGAGATTTCCCCCATCAAGTACCTTAACAGAACCCTGCCAGGTCATGTAGCCCCTGTTGGCATCTCTACGGACAGAAAGCCCACCACCTCCCCCTCCCTGGCAGCCCTGACAGGAAGTAGTTCTCCCTCACACCAAAGGATGTATACAGAAGAGACCTAAGACCACCCTCCCAATAGGCTTTGCTGGCCTCAGGAGCCCATCACTCACAGAGGCACCTCACCTCAAAACTCAGCTTTGCCGTGAAAGGGTCATCATCTCCCATGGAATTCATGGTCTCGTCCAGTCTCAGAGTCTGGGAATCTGGAGGAGTCTGGTCAAGGATAGAACCTGAGGCCAAATAGGAAACAGGTCCCACCCTCCACCCAACATGCTAAGACTCCCAGGAGCTCCTCCAGGCCTCATGCGTCTCCTTCCAGCCCTGGGGAAGAGCAGCAGGGGTGGCGGGACAGGTTTCCAGATGGAGAAATGCAGGAAACACAGACCTGGTCATGCCCCATGCTCAGGTGGGAAAGGAGAACAAAGGGCTCTGCTGCCCCACAGGGACCATGCCATGGCACCATGGGCCTGCCAGCCAGAAGCACCATGTGAACAGAGGCCAGAGGGCTGCTGTGTGTGGCTGTAGAAATGATGGGCTAGCAAACTGGCATTTCTTGGAAACACATAGCCAGGTGGTTTGCAGGCCATATTTCTGAGATGGCCTTGAAGGTCATGTTTCTTGGAGAAGGGGGTGAGAGCTCCTGCAGATCCCGAGGCTGGCCAGATTAGGCCGAAGGTCCCCAGGGAGCTGCCACCTCTGCCAGGAAGAGCTGATGTGAGGCCAGGGCAGCGGGACTCCCACGCGAAAGGCCCCCCAGACTGGAGGCCGCGGTGCTGAGTCAGGTACAGGATGTGGCCTCACACAGCAGCAATAATCCAGCCTAAGCAGATGTATGTGTGCAGAGGACTGGTGTGTGAACAGAGTTTCTGTTTCCCTTCTTGACCTCTCCTCTGTCTTCTGCTTTTCAGAATGGGGTTCATGGCCCAGAGGCATTGGCATTACCTGGAAGCTTGGTGAAACACAGGCCCCAGATGAGGCCTGTCCATGCCGCCAGGTGGGCCTCTCCACTCTCTCAGCAATTGCCTGCCATGTCTTGTCCTACCTGGCCCAGCCGCCCTCCAAGGCCTTCTCCTCGCACCCAGGCCCTGAGCTCCGCTGGCACACACAGGGGTCAAGCCCGATGCCCAGGATGCTGTTGCCTGTGATCTCCTGCCATTTGTTCTCGCACTTGTGTCTTGGTGCCTCCAGGTCAATGAGGGAGACGGCTTCTTCATCAGTGATCCCCTCCTCTAGGTAGAACTCGACCAGGTGCAGCACCTCTGCAAGACACAGGGCCCAGGGAGGCTGGGGATGGCACCCTGTGGGAAGCTGGGGGCTGATACTCTCACAGGCAGCCTGAGGGGTGAGAGGACCACAGAGTTCCTTCCTCGCCCAGCAGCAGGCTTCTCTGAAATCAAGTAGACAAGCTGAGTAGCAGGGACTCTCCTCCTGCCTGCCAATGTCCGGGAGCAGGGGTGTGGTGGTGGTGGGGGCTGTCTGTGTGTATGGGATGAGAACTGGGCCTTCAGTCCCTCCTTCTTCCCCCAACAGCTGGATGGGCTCCTCTCTGAGGGAAGAGGCTAGGCCTCTGCCCAGCTACTGGGAAGGGGCTTCTGATCCTATGTCAACATAGAAGGAACTGGGACTCCCAGACCAAATGCCCGACCAGCAGCCTCTATTCCTGGGGCTTTTATGTTACGCCAAGCCTCACACAGGCTCTGAGGAATGGGTGCTTCAGGTCTGTGCAGCACTGTGCGTCCCTATGTGTCAGGCAGGGTGGCTGTCACACTGTCCCCACTTTACAAATCAGGACACATGCGACCAACAAGAAGTGGGCTGAGCCCAGCCATTCACTGGGACCCCTTCCACATGTGCCAGACTCACCATAGGAAGAGGCAGAGAAGATGAAGGGCTGGCGGCAATTGATGCAAACGTTGCCCAAATTGTTTAGCAAAGGGTTGTTGGTAGAGCAGCGGTAGCACAAGGGCACCAGCTCCTGCAAAACAAAACAAGGACCATGGACTGGGCATAGCTGTTAAGAGGAAAGGCCCTGGGTGGGTGGGTGGGGGCACTGGGCCTGGGGCTCTGTGCTATGTAAAGCAGAGTAAGAGCCTACAAAGACTCCGGAGGCCTCATCATTTGGGGCCTGGACCTCCTTCACAGGCAGGACTCAGCAGCTCTGTTCTCCCGGCAGGAATGCCAATAACCATGGCCACATTCACCGGCCACTTACTATGCTCCAGGTACTGTGCTAAGCACATCACCCACACTGGCTCTTTCACCCTTACAGCCACGATGGGAAAGCTATTATGTGTGCCCCCACTTGATAGAGAAGGAAACCCAGGCTTAGAAAGGCTGAGACATAGCTAGGAAATGGTGGGGCTTGGATCCGAAGCCATGTCTATCTGATGGCAGTCTCTCCTATGCGCTTAAAGAGGGTTTTGTGAAAGAGACCGTAGTTAGCTGGGTTGGAGGAGAGGGTTGGGCATAGACATGGGATGGATTTACTGAAGCGCAATAACCTGGTTCCAGAAGGATGGCGGGTGAGGACTTGGGCTCCTAGGACAAAGTGGAGGCAAAGCCACCTGGTCATGGAGGTGTGGAGGGAGGCTAGGGACAGGGGAGGCCTTAGCAGAAATGGAACCTTGAGAGGGCCAGGAAGAAGATGGGGCAGGGCTGTGGGATTCAGGGGAGCCCTCTGGAGCACAGAGGGCTGAGTGAGAATGGAGAGATGGAGAGGAAAGAGCAGGAGTTGGCAGGGGAAGGGACACGGACACCTGAGAGTGTGCGCGTCAGGAGACGTCCGAAGATGCTGCAAAAGGGGAGGAGCCTGAGGGGCTGTGACCCACCTCGTTGTCATGGAAGGGCTGGGAGCGGATGGTCAGGCTGTCCAGCTCGATGGACTTCTGGAACCTGGCGGGGACGTACAGGCCCCGCAGCTGGTCGTAGGCGTGCCGGGCCAGTTTGTAGGCACCCAGGGCCCTGCTCTGCTTGGCCAGGGTGAAGAGTGTTCTCCTGTCAATTACAGGGTTAAGGACAGCAAGGCCTACACTGGGGCCTGAGAGTTGGCACCGCTTACCCTCAGAATGAGCCCAGTGCCAGAACACAGCTCATGCTGGTGCCAGGAGGGCACAAGCAGGAGCTTGAGGAGTACTTTGTTCCTTTATGGGATGTAAGTGTAATTCTCGGATATCAAGGCCCAGAGATTTTTTTTCAGAGATAAAGACAGTGCAGTTTCCATTATTTCAACCTTGTTTAGGTTCTCTGGGCCTGCTTTGGTTCACCTTGTACCCTGACCAGGACTAAATGGCTCTCCCCACCTTGCCCAGCCTGTCAGCCAAGCCCTCCCACTCCAGTCCTGCCATGTACAACCTGGTCCCAGACTGCCTGGGGAGCTGCCCTCAGTCCAGCTTACAGAGGCCCCTGGGTGCAGCGCACTTCTCTCTGCCTCCCCTCCCCAAGGGCCAGGTGATTTCTGAGTGGCAGCCTCCCTTGCTCTCTGCGGCCTTCCTCTGAGCTCCTCAGACTGAGGCTGACAAAACTGTGTTCAATCTCAGGTTAGCTCCAATGTTGGATATACTCAGACCCAGCTTGACCTTCTTCCCCAGACCACCTGTGAACACTTAACCCACTTCCCCAGCCAGTCCATGCCTCCCCCCCACTCTCCTGCTGATGTTCCTGCTCCCCACACCCCAAGTGTGGCTCCTTCCACTCCAGCAGTTATATTTGTCTGTGTCTTCACTGTGGCTCCTCAAAGTCTGGGGCTGTCTGGAGCTATTCCCAGGTCCCCAGTGGCCAGCACAGGGTGAAGCTCAGGGCAGGGGTTCAACAAACGCTGCTGACTTGAATGGAGCTGCTGGAATGGGTACAAGTGCTCAGACCCCAGCAGGTGTGTCCTTGGCCACTCATTTGCAGGGGTTTCCATGTCGCTGAAGGCAAGGCTTGATTTGCGGGAGTTTCCTCTGAGATGTAAATGTTGGGCCTGGAACCCTTTAGAAACACCTGATTAGCACCTCTGAGCCCTCTCCTGGGAGGGCTTTATCCTCGCAGAAGGCAGGCCCTGTTGGAGCTGGAAAGGGGCTGAGAGAATGGCGAGATTTCCAACAGGAGGGGATGTTTATGTCCTTTATGACTTTCTGGGCCTTCTGGAAGCATTGGCCCTCTGCCTCTTCTCTGCTGATAGCCCTCCCTGTGGCTTGCACCAGCCAGAGGAGGGAGGAGGCCCCAAGGCCACTGCCTCTCCAGCCTGGCTCCCCAGGGCTTCAGCAGGCTGCCGCTTCTCTGGCACATCATGCTCACTTCACCACCTGGCCTTTCCATGTGCTAGATACTCTCCTGGAACATGTACTCTGCTGTCATCCCTGGTTACCTCAGCCTGTAGGATGGATATCACCTTCTCCAGGCAGCCTTCCTTGGCCAAGACCCCGGCTGCATTCCACTCTTGGAAACAGCATGCATCCCCCTGAACCCGGCCCTGACAGGTTCCCCCTCTCCCACTAGACGGCAGCCTTGTTGCCTACTGCCTGGCAAGGGGCTTGGGGCACAACAGGTGCTCCGTCCACCGGCCTCCTGAGGGAAGTCTCTAAAATTCCAAACCCGAAGGCCTGGTCTTCCTATAATGCAGTCACAGCCACATTTATGGGTTCCGGGAGGGCTTGGAGAGTGTGCTGGCTGCAGACTCAGTGCTGGGTCTAGCACAGAGAACCCTGTAAACTAATCTTCTCTTGGCACTAGCCCCTCGGCTTCCCTGGCTGGGCCTCTTCTACAGCAAACAGCAGCGGCTGGGCAGGCTTTCTGCCTTCCCTGAGGGCTGCTGGAGAGAGGGAGGCTTTTGCCAGCAAAGTGCTCTGGAAAGAACTTCTCGGGGCCATTAGACAGGAGGGGTGGGATAGAGGTGGGGTAAGAGAGAGGATACACTTTAGAGATGCCCAAGGGGGTGTCCTTGGTCAGGCTGTGCAGCAGGAACCTGGAGATGTTGAAGAGGGTTTCAGGGCGATGGGAACTGAACGGCTCCTCCTGCAGTGAGAAAAGTGAGATTGAATTCCTCAAATGAGCCCTGCTGGGCCAGGCTGAAAAGCAGGTGCCAATAATCCTAAGATACTTTAGTAAATGAGCAGACCAGCCTAATGAGCACCTACTGTGTGCAGGGCATTTTATAGCTACTGTCTCCCATGGTCCTTAACACAGTCCTGTGAGGGATGTATTGTCACCCTCACTGTACTTACAGGCAAACAAGGCCCAAGGAGATCTGCTGAGGTCACCTGCTAGAAAGGAGCAGAGCTGGGATTCAAACCCAGATCTGATCCCAAAGCCCAAGCATGTCTCCTGAGTGACACTGCTTCTGGGGAACGTAATGATTCCGTTTCCCTGAGCTCAAACTGTCTCAAATTAGCTCGAAAAGAGAAGACATTTATGCAATTTGGGACATGACCATGCTATAAACTGCAGGGAAATAGTTAACCGACAGCATAAAATCTCATACCTCTTCTCTGCTCTCCAATAGCGGCCTGCCCATTCACTGCCCACCGAACATGCACATGTGGTGGAGCCCCTCAACTGCTCATCCCTGTGCCCCGGCACCTGGCACAGGCCCTAAAAGACGAGGCACTCAACACACATTAACTGAATGAGTACCTAGGGGCTGCCGGAAGCTCAGAACAGCAGACCAGAGGGAATTTTCTATCAGAAAGGGTCCAGAAAAGGTTAAGACTACCACTTTGAAGGAATCTGGCACAGTGTGTGCAAACTGAGACTGCTTTAGATAAGAATGCCTAATTCAGGCCAGTTACCCCTCCCCTCTCAAGCACTTAAATGGCAATAAACTGACATTTCCTTAAAGATCTTGCTAGACCACTCTCACCATGGAGCCATCAGGATGTAGGCCTTAATTGGTCTAAATTCACTAGGACTCACTTTACACCACTTCAGTTCAGAGCTCAGCATTCTCTCTCCAGTTCTCACTTAAATGTCTTTAGCCTCTGTTAGTTCCAAGAACCCAAGAAAACCTGAGACTGCATCCTTTTCTGGGTGACAGCCAGGGAGAAGCCTGCCGCTGGTTACACTGCACTAGGTGAGAAGCTAAGACATGTCCCAGAGAGAACAGGGGTTGGGGGGAGTTCCTCAGGATTAGCACCTCTCCTCTGGGAAGGAAGCCATTATGCCAGGAAAGGTCTGCTGCTTCCCTTCCCAGCCTGCTCTGCAGCAGAGCTGCTCTGCTGGGACCTGCCTGCCAAGCCTTAAAATACCACCTCCCTCCACGCCTTGGCCTTCGTACGTGCTGTGACCTCTGCCAGGAATGCTCTTCCTCCACCTCTGCACTTGCCCCATTCTTACTTACCTCCCTCCTCTGGGCTTCACCTTCTCGAGGAAATCCCTTGAGGGAACTTTACGACAACTTCTTGTTACTAGACTATGGGCTCCTCAGAGCTGTTACAGAGAAGAGATGCCCCGTGCTCATGCCCCGAGGTGCAGAGGAAGAAGAAGAGCAAAAAGAAAGACCTGGGCTCAAAGTGACTCAAGAAAACTGATACTGAGCTGGGGCCTTGACTTTTGAGCCTAAGTTGAGTTTGGGGTCTGCTTTCCACCTGGGCACCTCTTGGCCCCTCTTTTGTGCTAAACTCTTGGCACATTATTTGCCTCTGGGGAAAGTCTGGCAAGAAAGACTCTTCTGATAGGCTCTGCCTGAGCAGCTGTCAAGTCTGCCTCTCATCTCCTCCCACACCAGGGGCAGTGGTCTCTAGGGGCCTCATCTGCCCTTGCAGTCCTTTCAGAGCCCCTATCTCAGGTGCTCACCGGGAAAAAAGCCACTTTCCTGATTTCAGAGAGAAAGGGAGAGGGGGAGAGAGAGAGAAACATCAATGATGAGAGAGAAACATTGATTGGCTGTCTCCTGTACAATCCACGCTGGGAATGGAGCCCACAACCCAGGCATATGCCCTGAAGGGGAATTGAACTGTGACCTCCTGGTTCATAGGTTGATGCTCAACCACTGAGCCATGCCGGCCTGGCAACCCTCATGTTTTATAGAGAAGGAAACTGAAGGCTGTAGAGGGAAAATTGCTCAAGGTCATATAGCAAGCCAGTTGCAGAGCTAGGGAGGGACCTCAGGCCTTTGTTAGAACTGGGTCTTCACCCATCTAGGAGAGAGCCCCATGCACTGTTCACCCCTCACCATTTTAGACAGCCCTTTGTCTGACTAACCTAGAGTCTGTCCGAGTCATCCAAACCTGAAGCAAGCAACTCAAAAGGCCCAATTTAGCTCTGGCTGACTAATTCAGAAGCCCGCAGCTTGCTACATGTCAAACAAGCAGCCAATCAAAGAAAATCAAAATTCCACACTTTGTTTCTCAGGAGAAAAGCAGGATTTCTCAGCAGGTCACTCTGCCCAGTGGGTTTACTTAAGACAAGTCCAGTGCCCCTATCTCAGTAGGCAGTGCCCCTAGCTTAGGCACCCATTTCCGGGCCATCTTACCGTGTACCGGTGAATGGCATGGTAGCAGTGGTACAGCTCGGCCAAGTGCTGGAAGTGGTGAAACTTGGTGAGCATCGTGTCCTTCTGGGCAGGATCTTCGGTGTGCAATGGGAGGCAAGAAGGGGGAGAAGGAGAAGGCGTGTCAAATCAGTCTAGAAGGAAGAGCTAGGCAATGGCACTGTTGCCAGTTCTCCCCCAACATCAGGACTATGCCAGGAAGAGTGGCAAAGAAGTGCAATGAATGGAAAAGGTACTCTGCTTAGAAGCTGGGGCCATCCCTAGAGAGGGCAGAGCACTGTCTCAGTGTGGCAGAGCACATGGCCAGAGAAAGTCTGTGGATATTTCTCGCAGGTTCTCCCAGAGCCCACACTATGCACTCTCAGGTCATTCCACTGAGAGAGCACCAGCGAGGGCAAGAGCGTGGGTCACTGGCACTCAGACATACCAGAGGAGCTGACAGGGAGGGCGGGCAAGGGCCAATTTTATTCATGCTCACCTCAAGCCTCTTCCCACTGTGCTGTTCCCTATGAAAATCACAGACAGAAAAATACCAACCTATAAGCTGGCATGACAGTTATCAAACTGAAACCATGGCTTCTGTGCGGCTCACAGCAGCCTTGGGAAGGAAGGGCAGGATTACCCCCAGGCTAGAGTCAGGACATATAGCTGAGGAAGGAATTGGGACTTATTATTAGTCACCTAGCTGCCTCCAATTCCAGTGGTTTTCCCATTCCTGAATACTGGCCTCGGTCTAGTAAAGAACTCCTCAGGGGGAAGTCTTGTGAATGAAAGTAACATTGAAACTATTTTTCTGCTTGGGATGAGTGAGAATCTGAAGTGTGTCATTATAAAATGATCTCTTCTTCATCTTTTCATTTAATTAAAAACATTTTTAAAACCGGAGCTCACCCAGGTCCAGTTATGGGCTCCAGGTAGCTGGGGAGAGACATGTTCTGAATTAGCCACACAGGGTATGACACCCCCCCCTCCCATCTGTAACCCCAGGATGATCCTCATCCCATCTTTAAGCTTATGGGAAAACTGGAAAAAGATGACACATCAGATTAGGGCACTGCAAGGCAGGGTTACGAACAATACACCCAATAAACAAGCCCAAGGCTTTAATTAAAACGTCCCAGCTCTTTCGATGTTTATCTTGGTGCCAGAGCGGGGCCGGGGAAACAGCGGCCTGGCTGTTGTTTACTTACCTTGAGCTATATTGAGGCACTGCATGGACAGCATCCAATAATAATAGGCAGCATCATTAAATCTGTTTTCTACCACCGCGTTGTTTGAGAGCTGCTCCAGCACTCTGACCGCTTCCCCCTGCCGCCCGGCCTTGTGGAACGCTGGAGGGGCACAAACACACACACAATTCAGGGCATTGGAGGGAATTTTGCAGGGTTTGCAAGGGGCTGCTGAGAAGTAGGACATTCATCGGAGCATCTGCAGCACTGCGTTGCTGGGATGCGCCTCTCAGGCCGAAGGCTATAAATAACCTAGGCTATATCTTGAAAAAACTACAGTGAGATATGCTCCCTTTTGGCTGGGAAAAGGCAACCAACTTTGTAAAGGCATGGCAGCAAGAAAAACTTGAGGGACCGAAATGCAGGGCAAAGTCTAAAGATAAAACTGTTGTTCTTCGTCAGTGAGGTTTTGCCCCTATCCCACTCCAGGGGAAATAAGCCTTGTGATTTCTGAGGTGACACTAACAGGACCTGACACTTGAATGGGTTTGGTGGTTTAAAAAATGCTTTTGTTGCTGACTACTTCACTGGGTCATCACAACAGACTTTGCTTAATGGGCTCTGCAAGGTGGAGCATGCCAGGGTTACAGAACCGAGCGCAACTCAAGTTCTCAGTCAGTGTCCAACTGAGTGCTTTCGGATGGCAACTTTGGAAAAAATTTGGCTTGGTTTTATCAACCAAACATTTGTGAAAATAAGCCAAAAAGATCTCTAAATTGTTCCTATTCTATTTAAGAGAAATCTCTTGTACACACTGTGTGCCAGAACCTTGGGGTGCTGGGAGCCGCCAGGGAAGCACTTCTAATTGTGACAATCGCCCACGTATGGGCTCTCAGATTATCCAAATCCTCAGCTTTAGAGAAGGAAAAGGTCTGGCCTTTGTTCCATTCTCATCCGCGATCTCTCATCTGAGTACCAAGTTACTATGGCGATGGATTCTTGGAAGGGCAGACGCAGACAGATGGATAGGTTGATATGTTTTGCCCAAACATGCAGATACTTTAACAACTGGGCTCTCTGGAAAAGCTGAAGCAGTAGAGAAGACGCTGTCTTTCAAAGGAGGCTTTATCGAGCTGAGGAGATTCAACAGGGAGACATTTGTTCCAAAACGTGTCCAGAGGTGGCAACCAGATAGACGTGTAAGTGAGATGCTATGGAATATGACACACCCAACTTCAGTTAGAAGACTTCCCAAAGAGGCAGCAAAACCTAGCAGACGAATCAGGTTCCCCAGCCAGCCAGCCAGATCTAGTCCAACTCGGGCTTTGTCACTCTCTGGCTTTGTGACTTTGGAGGGCACAGCTAGTTTCTGTGTCTCTGCAGGGCTGCTGCCCAGATTCAAGGTTATGTAGTTACATGCCCAGCCAGTGCCTGACATAGAAGGCAACCATATTTTTCAATTATTACTGCCAATTAGAGTTCTATACTCTCTTTCACTTCTATTTCAGATACTGCCACACCTAGAATGCAGCCCACTTTACCTGTGGAAATGCCGAGGAGCTGAGGATACCCCATTTATCTGAGCCAGAAATAGAACCCATTTCTATCCATGCCAGGGGAAAGTGTCAGGTGAGATGGTGCTAGACACTGTGTGAATCCTCTCATTTTGTCCTTGCCCCAACCTGGCTTGAATTCTTTCTCTGTCACTTCCTTGTTGTGACACGTCAGGCAAAATCCCTGTACCACTTCCAACCTCAGTTTTCTCCATCTACAAAACAGCACCTACATCATAGGGCTTGTGAGGATTAAATGGGAAGATACATTTGAGGGCATAGTGCTTTGCTCAGAGGGGAGATAGGACCTGTGTAAGGTCCGAAGGCAGGTGAGTGACGGACCTAGATGTATCTGACTCCAGAGCCCATGTTCTTTCCACTGCTCCCCAGTCTTTCATCAGTAAACACATCACATGCTCAGATAAAGTTGTACATCTTGGTAGTCTACAAAGGGAGGGGCTTGGCAGCCTTCCTGAAATGTGTATCTGGGAAGTGCCTTCTCTGGCTCCTTCTACAAGGTGCCAGTCTGTGTGCCCTACCTTTTTGGGCTTCCTCAAAACGATCGTTCTCTGCCAACCACTGAGCGTAGGGCATGTAGATGTCTTCTTTAAACTCAGGATGCTTCTCGCCCAGAGCAAAAGCCTGGAGGAAGGAACCAATGCATTTGTAATAAAAGGCCCTGCAGCCCCCTTGAAAACATGGCTCTTGGCTGATCCATCAGGGATGTCATATTTTGCCAGCTTGACAACTCAGAGGGGGAGAGTGCTTTCCCCACAACCCCCAGAACTGCAAAAACAAATCAGCTCTTTGAAAACAAAGGCAATTAACAGCTATATGCAAGCAACTGGATTCAATAACAACAGTCTGTTTCTGGACCACAGAAGTAGCACAGAATTGGAAACATTTTATTTTGAGGGTTTGCGTGGGCTCCTGTACTGCTGCAAACAGATTTCTTTTCATTGCAGGCGACACCTAAGGAAACAGAATTGACATTATCATCATCTGTGTATTAGCTGTCAAAGATGATGATGGACTGGTGCTGTATGGGACCCGGTGACTGCTTCATCTAAGTCCCAGAACCACCTGTCAAGCAGAATTGGAAATGAGTCATAGGGGACAGTATGTGGAAACGGGGAGAAAGTTTGCCTGATACACAGCCAGGACCGAGTCGTTCCAAGATGTTTTAATTTATGCTGCTTGAGAAATCTCCTGATAAGCTTATCTTGAGACGCCATTATTATCTCTGTCCCTGGCTCCACCTTTTCTCCTAAGGGACCATGTCACCTCACCAAATGGAGCCACTCAGAGGGCAGACAGGAGTGAGACAACTCATACCCAGAAAAGTCCTACACTCTGGCTCTGTAAACTAGAACATGGTGGGTAGGGTAAGGACCAAAGGTGCAGTCTAATACTTTCATGGATGAATTTCAATCCAGGACACAGGTAGCCAGTGAGCTAGAGGGCGAGTTCAAGATACAGAGAGGGTGGCACATCACTGCTTCTGCATCCTCATCCCAGTGCTCTTCCTATTGGCCTGGCTAATTCTCTCACCTGCCTTTCATGCAAGAGGAGCCTAGGTCTTTAAGTGGGGCCAGGTAGGCAAGAAGGAGGAGGAGGAAGTGACCTCTGAAATGGCTCTGGCAACCTGCACCTGGAAGTATGGGTGACCTTTTCTGCCACCCAGTAGGATTTAAATGTCACACAGGTGTCTCTCCATGTCAGACCTGTGTCAGCCTGTGGTGCTGGTCAGAGACAGCTCAGACCAACAATGGGGGCTGTCACATTAACTCTCACATGCCCAGTCTCTGTCACAGGGCTGGTACAGAGCCAGCAGTCCATAAAGATGCTCTGAATGAATAAATGAGCAAACGAATGGGAAGCTAGTGTCAAAAGGCCCGCCAAAATACTCTGGCTTGGAGAATTCAAGGTTAAGTCTCCTGACTGCCAGGCTAATGTTCATTCTCACAATGAGGGCAGCTGCTTTCATCTAAACCACAAAAAGTTTCCTGTGGCCCAGGGCCCAGACAGGACCCCCTAACCCATGAAGCATATGGCAACCTCACCTCATCCCAGTGCTGGGTCTCCACGTGAAGCTGAACCAAGGACTTCAGGTCACCAATCTTCTGGTAGGTCTCGGCAGCATAGCCAGGGTTATCCAGCTTCTTGAAGTAATGAGCGCACATTAGCAGGGGCTCCCGCTCAGCCTTGTCCAGCTTGCGGGCAATGTCAATTAACCTGGAGAGGCAAGCACGCAGGGAGAAGATGGACCCCTGTGAAAGGAGCCTGAGGCAAGGAAGCGGATCTTCTTGAGGGCAGGCTCCGTATCACTTCATGTTGATGCCCAGTTCTCCATATAGTATCACGGCCCCCGGTGCTCCAGGGGGTTATTAAATGAGTGAATACACACCCAGAAGCAGTGCCCAGTGACAGGGAGAGGTTGCCTGCCAAAGGACACTGCTTCCCTGTCCCCCCATCATGAGCCTTTCATGGGAGTTACTAAGCTATCCAGCAGGAACCTGGGGAGAGAAAGGAGCATCTACTGATCACCTACTGTATCAAGAACAGTGCCAATAGTTTTCACATGTGTGATCTCATTGAATCTCCACCATCCTAAGAGGTGGTACTGTTTTCCCATTTTACAGATGAGTAGACTAAAGGCTAGGGTGGAAGGTGGAGCAACCTGACCAAAACTCTGCGGCCAGGAAGTGGCAAAGGGCTCTTCCCACCACTGTTTTTGAGAATTCTCATGGGAAAGCAGAGGCAGAGGCATGAAAATTCTTCAGGGACAGAATCTCTAGAGGAAGAGGCTTGTGTGGGGCTTGCTCTGAGCTCTGGAAAAGAGGTCTGCAGGCACTGTGCCTCTCCTCTTCCTGGCCAAGGTGCCATCCATTGTGAGGGGCCACAGGAACCACTTGCTCAACACTTCTTCCCAGTAGTGACTGGCTCTCCCACTGCTTGTGGAGACTTAGGGGCTGAATGAAATGTGCTCGTTCCCTCTGGTCAGGCCAGGATTTAGGGTAAAACCAGTTTTCCCAGGGGAAATGGGTCCTACCCACCTTGCTCTTTGTGAGAAAGAAAGGGGAAGCAGCTGTAACAGATTCCTGTCTCAGAGACAGGCAAGCTCAGGAAGGCCTGTCAATCTGTACTTAGAATAATAATGGATCTAAAAATAACACTTCTCAGGGGAGAAATGACACATTTTAGGGAAAGGTGGCACAGGCAACCCTTTAGAGCTCCCCAGTCCCACCCGTCAAACCAAATGTCCCTGGAGGAGAGGCACCTTTTACAGGCAGACCTGGAAAAGGGCAAAACATGCTGCATGTCTCTTTCCTGAAAATATGTAAGTCTCCTCAAGGTAACCCTGGCACATATCAGTTGCAAAAGAAAGTGACATGAAAAACTTGAGGGAGAGAGGGACTTAAATCTGCCTGGCGCTCTCCTGTACCATCCCTTTTGTGAAAGAATAATTTTGGGGGTGAGGTGAATCTGTGCCTCTTTCTTCAAGAAACTTTATTCTTGGGCACACATCAAACACATAGTGGGGTTCACAGGGATGATCTCGTTATTTATCAGCCCCTCTCCTTCCCCGGGTTCTATCTGGGCCACCGCTCCCTACGAACTACAGTGTGGCTTCCAGAACAACCAACAGTTTTGAAAGTTCAGACTCAGCTGACCTCAGAAACTGCTCCCTCAACAGTCATGGCAGTGTGTGCACATGTATGTACACATGAGTATACACATGCACGTGTATGAGAATGAGGCCCACTTTTTCTGACCTTCCCCTGGAGGTGTGATGCTCTCAGAGTCCCAAGACTGAATCCATCCCCTTTCCAGCAGCCCCACCCAAGCCTGTTCCTCTTCTGTTCTCTACCTTGGCAAGTGGCATTACTGACTACCAGTCCCAGATCTCAGAATCAGTCTACAATTCCCTTGCCTGGTCAACCCCAAACACCCCTAATTCAGTTGGGTCTTATCAGTTTTGCCTACTCCGTGCCTCTCATTCATTCCCCCAGCCAGCATATTTCTCCCTGGCTTACTACAATAACCACTTATCTGGTCTCTCTTCTTCTGGTTTTCCCTCCACTCTACAACCTCTGCCTGAGTGGGCTCCTGACAGCACAGTTCTGTTCAGGGGTCCTCACTGCTTACTGACAAATCTAAATGTCTCAGTCTGACACTAAGGCCCTCCCAGAGTGGCCAGCACAGATCCTCTGCCCACAGCCAGCTGTCCTTCACTCTCCCCCTCCTATACCTTTTATTCTGATCACAGCCAACCCATTGAGCTGTGCTTCTGGCCTGTACATCCTGCCCCTTCCTCCTAGCTCTGCCTCTTGAAATTTGTCCAAGATCCTTCATGCAAAGGCTACTTCAAGGAGAAGACATCCATGGTTCCTTCTATGAGAATTCAGTTCCAATTCTCCTTTTCAGTTCCTACCGTTATAGGTATTATGGGCATTGACGACAGCCAAATCAGCTTGAATGAGGCTCAGCTCCACAATTTCCCAGCTATTTGGCCTGTGTGATCATTTGGTCCTTGAGCCTTGGTTTCCTCATTTGGAAGAGGGGCATGGAAACACCCAGGCTTAGGGTGTCAGCAAGAACCAAATGTCTGCAAGGTATTACAGTGCCTGGCTCATAGGGATAGCTCAGAGAAGGGCAACTCCAATGCTTGGGTGTTTTCTCCTCACTCTCTTCTATTCTTTCCCCCAGAAATTTGCTAAGCTCCTCAAAGGCAGAAAATGCCTCATCGAATCTGTGTCTCAAAAACCTAATCACTATAGCATTCGGATTAAATCTTTAGAGAAACACTATTTTTTTCCTTGTCAGTCAAATCCAAGAGCTAACAAGATACAACATGCTACCAAATGCTTCTTGGGGCAGGGACTGAAAACCTACATGTCAATCCAGCCATGGTCACCGCTGATCTCTATGGCCTTGACATGCTCTCCAGCTGAGATGTACATCTCCACAGCGGCTTTGGGCTCATTGATATTTCTAGCCCAGTCAGCCTGTTTGGTGATTAGCATCTTTGTTTCTTTGGGGTCTCCAGATCCAAGGAAATCCTGAGGAAGCACAACAAACAAAAACACTCTGAATTAGAACTTCCTGCTGCCAGCATTACATCAGGCTGCTGAAAGCTGGAGTAAGGAAGGGCTTGTTTGGCTGAAGCAGGCGATCAGGATGCAAGTGTGAGCCCATCCCTACAGAGCTGACTTGAGGGGCAGTCCCAGGTGTCCGGGAGGAGTGCTCACAGGCTGCCCCACAGGTGCCTCTGGCGGGAACTGGGACAGTGTCAAGGACTATGGCCTTCAACGTTTCCTGTCCTGTCCATTAATGCATATTTGTTCTCTAGCTAAACAACCCTTTCCGGACTCTTTGCAGTACTGTACACAAACTCTGAAGTGTGGCAAACTTATGAGAAGGTTTCTTCTCTCTCTCTTTCTGCGTGTGTGTTTGATATATGTGTGAATACTTCAATATAGTGACTCTACAACCTGGTTGCACAATTCCAAATATTCTAACTTACAATCTTTATTTAGATATTAGGGAGAATGCCACATGCCCCAGAGTGAGGCTGAGCACAGTCCCCTAAACTTAAATAGACAAAATGATTTAGTCTAGAATAGCCCCTTTGTGCCCTCCTCCCCATCATCACACACAGGAGGTACTATTCACATCTGTTTTCTGATTCTATTCAAGTTCTTTTGCCTGGACTTAGGGCATCTCCCATTGGCTTTGCCCCCAGGTGTTTGCCTAGGGCAGATAAAGAGTACAAATGTTACTGGCTAATTCCTTCTCAACTGGACAGTATCAATTGTCTGGAGATCAGGTCTGCTGGGGGCTAAGAGGGCTCTGAGGCAGGGTAAGAGGCGTGTGGATTTGCAGGCTCACAAGGTCAAGTCTCAGGGCCTATGTGCCTTCTACCACAGCAGGGGGCCTCCAAAGGGGCATGCCCAGCTTCCCTAGTGGCCCTAGGCTGCACGAGAAACAGCCTCAGAAAATCACCTCTTTTCAGGATACAGTCACCTAAAATACATCGTGGGAGTTTGCCATAGTTGAGGTATGATACTGACATTTTAAAAGGTGGGGCTTTTCAAAAAAGGATATTGAGAGCTCGGAGCACCCAGATCTGCATAACTAGTAAGAAGCGGTTTGTCTTAGGAATAATGTACCCTGCAGAGAGTGCACTGTCAACCTCACAAAGTCTAAAAAAAGCACTCCTTTCCCCACGATTAGCACTCACTTGTCAGGAAAGTACAGTCAATGTATGCTAAAATCCTACTTGAATAATTAGCTCTATTTTTTTTTCTCCATTTGCTTTCAGGATAATTGTGTAGCCCCTAAGATAATATTAGATTGGCCTAAGACAACCATTTTAAAGGGGGGAAAGAGCATCATTTATCCTGATGCTGGGGGTCCAATAAGAGATAGGCTAACCTCACTGGCCTTTGGTCCTTCTGGAGTTCTCAGAGGAGAAGGGGTTTGGAAAGCAGCTACTATCTGAAGGTGCCTAGTTTGGGCCACTACAGAATAATCTTTACTCTTGACAACTACTGCAATGTGTACACTTTATGCCAATGCAAAACTGGAAACTTTGCTAACCTGGTTGGTTAAATGAGGTTAGCAGCTGGGGAAAAAGGTAAAGAGAACAGAAATAGCCTTCAAAGTGGGTACTCAGTAGTGACTACAGTAAGAAGGCTCAGAGACCAAAAGCAAGCCATAAATGTGGATCCTCAATAAGGAGACCAGCCAGGGACACAGTTCATAAGCTTAAAGGGACCTCCTTTAGCCCAACAGCCCAGTCCCAAGAGATCTGACCTAATTGAAGCTGACTCTAACTGGTTCCTTGAAGGATCAACAAACTGGGTTTTCAAAGTTTCTTTGGTTTCATGAAACTAATCTACACATTATCTGGGGCCATGGCAAAGACTCTGCCCTGTAGTGGACAGAAAGAGGCTGTGCTGAGTGATGAATGAGACTAAACAGTGTTCTCATGCTTGGTGATTTTGATAAGGACACACTACATAAGAGTTAAGAGCATTATAATTCCCTTTATCACCATATAAACATGTCACTTATCCGGAAAGCATATAATTTATTTGTACATGGGAATGTAATTTAAAAATTTTCTGAAAACCAGATTGAATCTTGGGAAGCAATTTTCAAATAAACAAAAACATGCCATGTTAATAAGTACTGTATCCCTCCCCACCCCAGACATAATGTGTATATACACACTTTCTCAAATTCAAACTACTGGGGGGTGGGGGAGGGAAGGGATTGAAACAGAACCAATCTACTTGGAATGGTGACCAAAAACTACAACCAAAAACAACCCCCAGAGTATTCACCTTCATAGAGAAGCAGACCAGATGGAGTGTGTAAATAGGCTGCATTTCTGGGTGGGAGCCTTGGGTACGCGAAGCCCACCCAAAGTGTGAGGAGGAGCCTCGGTATAGGAGCAGGAGTGGGGCTGACCAGGGAGAGGCTGAAGCACAGCCATGCTATGGTCAGGGTTGGCCCATCTCGTTTTCCTAACCTTTCTACAGCTTGGCCTTGGTAAAGGGTTTTCTCAGACATTATTTTGTGCAATTCTCAGAACTAAGCTGAGATGCAACTGTCACCTCCAAGAAGAAAATGGAGGCTTAGCAAAGTGAAAAGCCTGGACACCAAGGTGAGAAAGCACTGTCTGCTACACCACAGCAGCTTGCTGGAAGGTTCCAGAAGTTCTAAAGAACACCGAGAGCCAGCTTTCCTAATGCTTAAATTCCACCTCTAGGATTCAATCCTTTAGTTTAAGGTTTTGGCCTTGGTTTAGATATTGTTATCCCCAGAAAGAGACACACTGATTTAAGTGTTCTCAGTATGAATGCAGTGTCAAATTGTGTGTCCCTGTGTGTGTAGTGGCAGTATGGGGGGGTTAAAAAAGTTGAAAACAGCAAAGTGGATAAGAGGGACAGAGTGAAGAGACCACAACCCAGGTGAAGAGACAGGCTGGGGACCAGGTGCTTGTCCAGCTACTGGTGACCAGAAACTCCTAGGCCAGATCACAGTGACTCAGACATAACCTTTGGCTCCTGATATTCATACATGGTGGAAGGTAAAAGAATGCAGCCTTAAGAAAAAAGAGCAGAAAAAAATGGGGATGATTTTTTCACCTTGAACTTGTGAGCTAGATAATTGCCATTAATAGCCACTAATTGGTTATGGCTGATGAATCACTAACATTCTGAAGTTCCTGACAATACCCGGAAAGGCAGGTTAACAAAAGCACATCCATGGAAGGAAGAGCCTGATTGCTCTATGCGCCCAAGGCTCCTTTCACTTGCATTAGGCTAGACTGCAAGTGCCCTGAAGGTCTGGGCTCCTCAGTGGTACCCATGCTCACACAAACCATGAGAAGCCTGCTCCAGGAAGTGCTCCCTCCTAAATCCACATCTGTTGGCCCCTTCCAAATGCAAGGGGAAATCTTTACTGTCAAGCATGCAGGTGATGTGGGAGCCGTGCTGTCCCAGCCCAGGTGAAGGCACGCCATGCTCGCTCCAGAGGGCAGGGGTTTTGTCAATGTCTCCAAGGTCCAGTGCAAATGTCAGTACCAGACAGACAACAGGCGTTTAGGGAACCTTGGCTGGGGTGAATCACACTATCCGTATGTAGAACCATTCATGCCTGAGGACACTGATTCTTGGTGGCTTCCAATGAAGTTTTGGGAGAAGTTGTGAGAGACAGCCCTGACCCTGCATGAAGGGGCACTGCTGGTTTGTCTAGCTCTGTCATTGTCAAAGGTCTGAACTGTCATATTCTGTTCCTTTGATGTCACCCAGAGGGTCAGTGTTAGGTCAGCCTCCATTGATGGTTCCTTTGCTTACCCATTTGCCCACACTCTTTCTGAGGCCATTGCTGTTTTCTGTCTGCACCGCCTTTTGGGGCCAAACAACTGGACACACAGTGTCAAAACACAGGTGGGTTCCACCTGGCAGCTCGGGCCAGGATGTGGGGAATTACCTTGGCATACTCAAACATGCGGAGGTCAGTGTACATGTCGAGTGCGAGGTTCTCGTGTCCACTCCTCTTGTACAGTTTGGCGGCCTCGTGGAACTTCCCCTGGTAGGCAAACACATCTGCCAGAAACAGGTCATTGTTGGTCTCTCCCTGCTTCTTCCTCTCCTGGAAAAATTAGAAGCACAGGAAATGGCCTCTGCAGCCACGGCAGGAAGCAGCCTTTACAAAGGTTAGATGTTGCTATTTCAAGTTAAGCCCATGGGCCTTCCTACTGGAATCTACACTTGGCTCCTGGGCTGTTGTATCTCTCACCTAGGATTCTGGTGGGAATGCTTGACAACAAAAGCAGATCTTTCCTTCTCCACGCCGCTGCACTCTCTCCCCCACCCCCACCCCCCCACCCACCCCCGCCACGAGGGAAGGTCAAAAGAGATGCAAACTTCTATTTATTTAATAGAAACTCCTCAGGGCTGCTTTATTATATATTCTTCCAAGGAAATAACTACTTAGGATGGTGTGTACTGCCCATTCTTTGGAGGCCTCCAAGCTCCCAGATCTCTCAAGTCCTCAGGCTTGATTTGGCTGAATTGTGACTCATGAGGATGGTAGACAAGGAGAAAGTTTAGGGTTTCTTCCCCAGAAAAACAACAACAAAATGAAAATATAATTAGTCTCACTATATCCCTGTCTCTAAAGTGAAGGTGAGCACCCGTTAGGTACTTTCCATATGGACCCAAGGGTGGGCAGTGCTACTCAAGTGTCACACTGAGGGAAGCTGAGGTTCAGAAGAGTGGCAGATCGAGGGCATACAGAGCTGGCATTTGGACTCGGTCTGTCTGTCTCTAGATGTTCTTTGTACCACAGAAACAAGTGATGTTCTCCAACACTCTGCTATGTGTTTACACACACACACACACACACACACACACACACACACACACACTCACACACAGTAGTGCTGAGGATGGAGAGAAATAACTGTGTGCTCCTTTCTCCTGTGTTAGGGAACATTCATTAGTCTGCAGCTCAAGTATTTGTAAACACTCAATAGCACCCAATCGCTCATCCCCCGCAGTTTCCTTTTGCTTGTTTTCTAGCAAGTGTATCACAGTAGAAGAAGAGACATTGAGTCAAACTCCCAGACAAGCTGGTGAAAGTTTTAACAGCTGGAGGCAACATCCTTCCCCACTGACAGAAATAATTAAAAAAAAAAAAAAAAAAAAAAAAAAAAAAAAAGGCCGAAACCGGTTTGACTCAGTGGATAGAGCATCAGCCTGCGGACTGAAGGGTCCTGGGTTCGATTCCGGTCAAGGGCACGTACCTTGGTTGCGGGCACATCCCCAGTAAGGGGTGTGTAAGAGGCAGCTGATCGATGATTCTCTCTCATCGATGTTTCTAACTCTCCCTCTCTATAAAAAAAAACAATAAAATATATTTTTTTAAAAGAAAGAAAAAGAAACTACACATTGTAGAATAACCAACCAAAAAACTAACCCCTAATTGTAGGAAATGATTAAAATCTTGCAGTGAGATAAAGAAATAGGTTTTTACTAGGCATGGCATTTAGGCCATATCCATCCTAGGTCACAGAATATCACCATGATCAAGAAATATGGTTTACGTGTAAAGTCACATGGGAAGATTCTCTTCTTCCTGTTATCAGTACAGTTGCATCTCACCTATCTCAAAGGAGTCTTCTAAGGAGCCTGAGTTCTCTGGAATAATACCAAATGCAAGCACCTAAGACCTCAGAGCAGCTAAAATGGATCCTCACTCAGTGGTACTTGACTCTTTCTCATGAGACAATTCTTACAAGTTTCCTTTAACCGATGGTCTTAGGCTCTACAGCAGTGGTTCTCAACCTGTGGGTAGCCTAAGACCATCGGAAAACACAGATATTTATATTACGATTCGTTAGCAGTAGCAAAATTACAGTTATGAAGTAGCAACAAAAATAATTTTATGGTTGGGGGTCACCACAGCATGAAGAACTGTATTAAAGGGTTGTGGCATTAGAAAGGTTGAGAACCACTGATCTAGAGTAAAGACAGTTTGGGAAATAGAACTGGCTTTGAATTCTAACTGAGCTTTTGTCTGTGGACCCTTGGGGACATGGTCTAGCCTTTCTTAGCCTTTGTGTCCTTATTTATCCAATAGGTATACTAGTAAAAACAATGTCTGACTAAGTTGTGAGGGTTTAAAATAGCATACACATCAATCATGATCATGCGGGGGCAGAGCAGGCATTCAGCAAATGGCAACAATTGTCAGGGTTAGCAGGTCTCTTCCACTCAGCTCTGCCCACTGGGCTCAGCACAGGCTTGGCACACAACAGGTGTTTATTATGCTAAACTGAATCAAAGGGACAAGACATTTGCTGATTTCCTCACTGCTTCCATATGGAAATTCAAATTTATCTCACATTCCCATAGCCTCACAATAAATCTGTTCAGAGAAAAAATATGTATGCCTTTTTACAGACACCCAGCAAATGGTGCTCCCAGAACCAGCCTCTTTCATCTAACATAGCTCTCTCTGGGTTTGGTTGATGAGGCTGGTTTTCTCAGCTAGGAATGGTGAGCTGGAGGGAGGGCTCCTGGGCCTTTGGGTGCCCAGTTCCGACCTCCCTTCCCAGGACCCATTGCTACGAGTGGGATGTAGATCATATGCATTTGGGAAATGCCTCCTACATTGGCATGCTATTGAAGCCCTAGACCAGGGCTTTTTTTCTGCAAAGGGCCATTTGGATATTTATAACATCATTCTCAGGCCATACAAAATTATCAGTTTAAAAATTAGCCTGCTACATTTGGACAAACATTTAATTAACTCACCCCTAATGCCTTGGCAGGGCCAGACTAAATGATTTCGCAGGCCTTATATGGCTGGATGTTTCCCACCCCTGCCCTAGAGGATGGTAACCAGCTAACAACCACTGCAAGGATGAAAAACAGTTACTGAAAATCTATGTAATCCTCCCCGCAACCTTGCAATGTTGGTCTCATTCCACCTTACAGACAAGAAACCAAAGCTTCTTGAGATTAGGAATCCATCTACCTCCCCCTACCTATCAAGTAACAGACTGCACTCCTTGCCCCCAGGTGCTGCCTCCCCCCACCGCATGGCATCTGTACCCCAAAGGCAAGGCTGTGGCCTTAATACTCAGGCACCAGTAGGCTCTATTCACATGTCCTCAAGGCTTTTTCCTTCTTGAAGAGCTGCTTGTAAACCCCTGACAGTGAGTCTGCGCTTTCTTGAGAATAAAGAACACTTCATCTTTACCTCAATGCTGTTGATGAGCTCTAAATATCGGAGGTCTCGTACTCTGATGAAGGCCTACAGAGAAAGAAATAAAATAATAAAATCAGCTGCTTTCTGGGCTTCAAATGTGGGTGATTGGCTGGGGGTGGGAAGTCAAGCTTTAGAAAATGAGCCAGTAAAGAGGGGAAAGAAGCAAGCATTGATTAATCACTTGAATGTTTAGGAGGGTTCCACCACCCATTGAGGCTCAGCTTTATCCCTGGGATTAGTCCATACAAAGAAGCCCTGGTTGCATCAATCACTTTGGGATTAGGTGAAGCAAAACTATAACACTGCAGTCTGAGATGGTGCCTGCTTAGAGGAACCTCTATGCAAAATGGAAGAACAAGCCAGTCTGGCACTCTGAGGCAGTGGCATCTGAGTGGGAGTGGGAAAGACGTACTGACTCAGACGTACATCTTGGTGACTTGGACAGAAAACAGGAGACAGCTATGCTTACCAACAGTGCATAAACAGGGCACTCAGAGCCTACAGTACCACCATGAAGGGAGAAAAGGAAGAGAAATTTGAGAAGGAATAAAGATGGTTTCTACAAGGAAGGGGGAAGTAGAGAATGAATCACTCCAAGTCCCTGGGAGGCAAATTCTTGCATAAATCCTAAACGTGTAGCTCTTGCCTTCGACTCACAATAAAGCCAGAGACTTTAACCCATGGGAACTTTCCAGGCATCCCTCTTCATGCACACTGAAGCCTCTTTAGTTGCTTTCAGATTCTGCATGGGACTTAGAGGAGCATGACCCACCATGTCAGGCTGATCTTCATGTGGCTTTGCTGTCAACATTCACACTCAGCTGTGCTTCTTTACATTGTCCCATTTGAAATGGGCTGACACACTCCTAGAAGAGGCAGCAGGTCCAGGATGCCTTAGAATATGAAATGCAGAACAATAATCCTGGCTACTTAGCTGCAAGACATCCTCCATCTTAAAAAGACTTGTGGAAATGAGCAAGTCACCCAGCCTCTGGCTGCCCACAGATGACCACAATGTACTGTCATCTTTTCGGCCCACAGGACCAAGCATCCTGTTGGGTTGGGGACCGAGAGGTGAATATTATTTGGCTCCTGTCCCCCTCCCCAATTCGGGGATTCATATTCTAAAAGGGGAGGCAGGCAGATTAAATAGATCAATAAATCTCCCTGAGCTAAGAGCTATACAAGCATGAACTAGATGCCCTGGAGAACAGAGATTCACTGTCTAAGCACGGGCAATAGCAGGAGGCAGGATTAAGTAAAGCATCACAGTAGACCCTGGCAAATGTGTATTCCTGAAGAGGAATTCCTTGAAAGGGTAAGGCAGTTATCACATGAGCAAAAGGATGGGAGCTAAGAGCACCTGTATTTTTAACTGGAGGTCTTGTATTAGTAAGCCATCTTTGAGGTCTGGGCTTCCTTAAAGCAACCAAAGGGAAACCTGGAATGCCTGACAAAGTAGCAGGGAGGTAAGGAAGAGCTAGGTCTCAGTCCTAGCTTGCTTTCTAGGTGGGGGACTCTGAACCTACTTCTTCCCCACCACTGAGAGAAATCTGTTTCTGAGTTCCTTCAGCCCTAACATTCTGCAGTGTCAGGGTGCCCTGGTCGGAGTGGTCAGAATCACAAGGCCTGTGAATAACCTCAGGGGAGGGAAATGTGAGAACAGAGAAGCTTTGCAGTTCTCCTCAGGGCAGTGGTCCTGGGTGCTAAACAGCTCTCCTCTGCCATCTAGTGGGGACAGCGGTCTATCATCGGAACCATTCACTTCCAAGGGTCCCTGAGTGACTTGGCAAAGCAGGAAAGAAAGGCTGGGGATTAGGAATTTGGGTAAAGTGATCAAGTTATAGTCTATAATCAAAATCTATGTCTTTAATACAATAACTCATATTCTCAGGAGTGTTTGGGCGGGGGAGGGGGGGTGATACAGATTGGGGGCAGGTATTAAGCAAATGGGAATTCATTCCAGTTTAGTTTTCATCCATTCAAACATTTGCTGAGCACTTAACACAGAGTTAGGCACTTCTGTTTAATTTCATTCAATGATAAAAATAAATAAAACATATTCTAGGAATCCTTTGTTATTCTTCATTCCTCCTGGCATTTCAAGGTGAGGCAGGAGAGGGAAGCTCCCTCCATGGAAAGTTTCCTCCCTCTGGATTCTTAAAGCCCTTTACTACTACCACTTTTATGATACAGTAGATCCAAAACTATAATATACTAGAGGCCCAGCATATGAAAATTCATGCATGGGAGAGCAGGTCTCTCATCCCTCCCTGCCCTCTCTTCACAGTCTGGAAGCCCTTCAGGGGTGGGAAGCAACCCAGCGATCAGGGGAAGGTCGACACCCCATCACACCTCTGCTGCTGCCACTGCCAGCTTCACAAGCCTCCACCAACCCTGGTTACCTGAGCCTCAGGCAGCCCTGGATGGCTGGGCAGCTGCCATTCAAGGCTTGCCTGCACCTCGGGCCAGCCCTGGGCGGCTGGGCAGGCAACATCTGAGACTTGCCTGCACTTTAGGCCAGCCCTGAGCGGCTAGGGGGCTAAAGGGACTGGGGGACTCCAGAGGCAGGCACCCCGGCGACGCTGAGAGTACTGGGTGCTGCCATCTTTGAGCACATGGCAGTCAATTAGCATATTCCCTCCTTATTGGCTGTGGGCACTGCCAACTTTGCAATGGCATGAGGATCAATTACCATATTCCTTCTTTATTAGATAGGATATTACTATTATGTAATTACTAGAGGCCCAGTGCATGAATTTGTACATGGGTGGGATCCCTCAAGGTGGCCTTCGGGGATCAGGCCAAAACCCGCAGTCCAACACTGCCTGCAGATCCTACCTGCTGCTCCTGCTCATGTCTGCCCCACTGTGCCTGTCTCAGGCTCACGCCCAATCAGTCCTGATCAGCAGAGGCTCACACTACTGCAGCAGCAGCAGCAGCACTCACCAGTCATGAGCCCTGTGTCTGGCACCCTCCAGAGGGGAGTGGCCTGCAGGATTGGACTGAAACTGGCTCTCCAACATCCTTGAGGAGTCCTGGATTACGAGAGGGTATAGGGCAGGCCAAGTGACCCTTCTGGTGCACAATCGGAGGGCTCCAGGGCATGTCGCCCCCCCCACCCCACGCCAGTCTCGCCCAGTCTTGGGGAGACTGGGCCCGATCGGGGCCAATCAGGGATGGTCAGCCAGTCAAGGAGAGATCATGGGAGGGCTCCAGGGTATGTCTGGCTCATCTCAGTCCCAATTGGCCACATCCCAGCAGCAAACTAACCTACCAGTGGGAGCATCTGCCCCCTGTTGGTCAGTGCACGTCATAGCAACTAGTCAACCAGTCAACTATCTGCCTCCTGGTGTTCAGTGTACGTCATAGCAAGCAGTTGAGTGGCCTTAGCATATCATTAGCATATTGCACTTTGATTGGTTGAACAGTCAACTGGTCACTGGACAACCAAACACTTAGCATATTAGGCTTTTATTATATAGGATAATTGTACTTGCTTTAATAACAACTAGCATTTGTATAACCATTGCTAGTTTTAGAATCCTTTTTACAATGTGATAGGTAAGCCTGATGACACTGTGTTAGGCAGGACTGACAGTGTTTTCACCCTCCCCACTGTAGAAAAGACTGAGGCTGAGAGAAATGGCTTGCCAAGGGTCTTCCAGCCTGTACATGGCCAAGCTGGTTCTCAACCAGGCTTCTGAAATCTAGTCTGGTCTCGGTACACTCTCTTTTTATGCTTAGAAGTCTTGACCTAGCATGGAGATAGCATCAAATACTTCTGCAATTTCTTCCCGATCAGCACAATAATATGCACAAAATGAGTATCTGATTAATGGGTTATGGAAAAATAGAGACAGAAGAGGGGAGAGAGCTGAAGGCCATTCCTTTCCCCTACACCTCAGGAGACATAGTGGATTCTTCCTAATAATGTGTGTCAAATGTTTTTAGCTATTTCTGTTATTTTAATAGACTGAGCCAGGACATGACACTATGAATCAAGGTCATGAATTATGCCATGAAAGTATGTGGGAGTGACATTGCTGTCAGAATCAGAGAGCTCGACCATCTTGTCTAACATACTTAGCAGTGTGCCAAGAAAAACAGCATTGTGTAATACCAATAAGCACTTATGCCAATAACAAAAGCCACCATTTATGGAGTGCCTAGTTTGTGCCAGGCTTTTAACTAGGTGCTTTATATAAATGATAGCTAATAAGAGTGACAGCTAGAATCTATCAGATGCTTCTTCTATGTCAAGCTTTATAGGCATTATCACATTAGATTAAGGTGACCAAATGTCCTGCTTTTGGCGGGACAGTCCTGCTTTTCACAATCTGTCCTGCGTCCCGCGGCATTTTAAAAAAGTCCCGATTTTTTGAAAGATCCCTATAACTTTTTGAAGATGGGACCTATCATCACCCTGATTTTACCAATGAGCCACCTCAGGAAGGCTGTTACCTGCTCAGGCTTATAGTCAGAAGGTGGCTGAGCCAGGTCAGTCTAATTCCAGCACCCACTGCAATATGCTTTTGCCTCCCCCTATGTCACCTGGAATGGACCCTCTTCTGCCTCCTCAGAGGACTTTCCAAGGACCAGATTCTTGCTCACTCTGACGAGATGCTTACCTTCTTTGCTGTTTCAAACTCTAATCCTTCTAAAGCTTCCATGGCCAGCTCACGCCAATCAGTGTCTGTCACCCCCAAGCAAGCAATCTGGTAGGCTTCTCTGAACATTTTCCTCTCCAGGTACTGGTACATGGGAGCAGACTGCAGGATTGAAGAAAAGAAGATTATTTTCAAAGCAATGGAAAGAGTCAGATTCATACAAAGCCTGACTCCATATGTGTGCACTGACTTAATTACAAAAGCCTGCAGAGCAATGCTGCAATGGTTAATCAGTACCCTTCTCAGCCACACCCCAGTTCACCCTACATGCCTTCCACTCTGCCACCTCCTTTCAGAGCCGAGCCATGCTCAGCAGCACAACCCTTACCCATCCTCCCCTCCCCCACTGGCTTTCCCCACCTCCAGGCCTGCCTCTCCACAGAGTTCCCCATCATCTGGAATGCCTTTGCCCCTCTTCACCCTCTGGAAAGTATCGATTTGGCTTTCAAGACCCTGTTAAAGTGTCACTTCTTCTGGAAAGTCTTCACTGACCCTTCAAGTAATATCATGAATGAGTCCTAATAACTTCTATTTGTAGGCTTTTGGATCTGTCCCAACAGTCCTGTGTCATAGGTATTATCACTCCTGGATGATAGCCCGAGACTGAAACTCAGGGAGGGCAACTGATTTGTCTAAGGGCACACACTAGCCAAAACCGGTTTGGCTCAATGGTAGAGCATCGGCCTGTGGACTGAAAGGTCCCGGGTTCAATTCCGGTCAAGGGCATGTACCTTGGGCATGTACCCGGTAGGGGCTGTACAAGAGGCAGCTGGTCGATGTTTCTCTCTCATCGACGTTTCTAGCTCTCTATCTCTCTCCCTTCCTCTTTGTAAAAAACCAATGAAATATATATATATATATATATATATATATATATATATATATATGCCACTACTAGTGTGTGCCCTTATATATAATAAGAGCACACACTAGTAGTGGCATATAGAAGATCTTGGGGCTGGAGCCTGGATGACCTCTTGGGCATGTGTGTGTATGTGTCTGTATACATGAGAACAAGTTTGAGTTGGGCCTGAGTGTCTTTCATAACTAAAGGCCCTCCCTTGTTTTAGGCCAGTCAGTGGGCTGAGCGAACTGTGTCTTTCCTTCTGGATTCCTAGGCAGTGGAAATCAATCAGTCAGAACCTCTGTGCTAATGGTTCCCAAATGTGGAGCCGAAAGTGCTGTTTTCTCCATTTGAGGCCTTAATCTTTGAAATTTCCTGTCCCATTTTTTGCTTTAGCGTTGAAGGAAATTTCTTTTTAAGCCATTCCATCCTCTCACAGCACTCTGTGCCTGCTGCTGAGCACTCATCTTTCCTCCTGTACCCTCCCTTCAGGTGGCAGCAGGGTATGGGCACAGGAACAGTTGAGCTAGAACCCAGGCCTAGCTCAGCCACATCCTAGATGTGTGAATTTTGGGGTCAATTAACTTCTGTTTAGCTCACAGGTTACCATGAGCAAACAAGAGAAGTACTTTGAAAATTGATAAAGTGCTGGACAAAAAATGAGCATGATCATTGGATCCAAAGTATTTTCTCAGCACCAGCTCCTCCCCTTCTCACAAATCCTCCAGACTTGTATCCACCCCCAACGTTCCCTGCTTGAAATACCCTCGCTGTTCCTCTCTGCCTTTCCAGACCTTTCAGGGCTCAGATCAAGTGTCACCACACCTGGAAGCTTTCTAACTCCCCATTCACAATGAGCTTTCCTTTCTTTTCTTTTTTCTTTTTCTTTTTTTTTTTTAAAATATATTTTATTGATTTGTACAGAGAAGAAGGAAGAGAGAGAGTTAGAAACATCGATGAGAGAGTCATCGATCAGCTGCCTCTTGCACACCCCCCACTGGGGATATGCCCACAACCAAGGTACATGCCCTTGACCGGAATCGAACCCGGGACCTTTCAGTCCCCAAGCCGACGCTCTATCCATTGAGCCAAACCGGTTTCAGCGAGCTTTCCTTTCTAAACTCCTTTAGTGAGCACCTTCTGTTCCAATTTAGTCCTGTTTTGCAATGTTTAATATTTTAACACTGTTGTTAATAATAATAATAATAATAATAATAATAGAATTTGGAGCAGACAAAACCTGAAAGAGGGATATCTTTAACTTCACTGCACAGAAAACAAGTAAGACCCCAAAAAGTGAACGGAGTTGCTCAAGGTCACAGCTAGAGTCAGAAAGCCAGTACTCCTTTCCCTAAACTCCTTCCCTTTCCCCATGCTGAAAGCCCCATGAGGGTTAGGCTTGCCCGGGAGGCCCCATCTGAGAGTGGGAGTTTTAAAAATACCCTAACTGAACAAATGCCCTCTGAGCTCTATTTTATCTTGCTATCGCATTCCAAGCATGAAGTCACCACCCGCCCTGAGAAGCCCGGCTAGGGCCTGCCGCCCTACTTGGCAGCCCTGACAAACCATTTCTTGCACAAGATGATGTAAATTTCGAAAGGAAACCAGAAATCCCCAGAGTGGGTCTGATGCTTTCTCCCTCCCCAGTAAGCCAAAACCACAGGATGGCTGGAGGCAGAAACGACAGATAAATAGCCTTTGTTTTGAGGCTGCCTTTCCTAACCCTTGGCAGTTCTGACCTGCTGCATCAGCAGGATGGCCCCGATGCAGCCATTGGGGAAGGGGAATCTGGCTTCTGAATCTTTAGAGCTTGGCAGAGGAAGTCCCAGGCTGCCCCTTCAGCTCCTCTTGTCCCGCAGCAAACTTGAGGTCGGCGTGGCAGTCTTAGTAGAAAAAACTTTCAATCAGCAGAGCATGTTTGGCATGATTGAGGAAGATTGTGTTTCTGATGGAAGTGGTGCATGAGTTTGGGATGGGGAGCAGATGAGGACTGCAAGGAAACAGTCCAAAGGGGCTGTTCTTGCCCCTCTTTCTGCTGCCACTTCTACCCACTTTCTCCCTTCTTTCTCTGCTTTTCTTTCTTTCTCTTTTCCTTTTCCTCGGTCTGAATTGCCCTAATATTTATTAAATAACTGCTCTATGTTAGATACTAACAATCCTTACATCAATGAGTAACATTATCAACTATGAGGAAGAAATGAAATCCAGTTCCACCCTTTACATGAAGCCAAGCCAGGGCAAGGTGTGTGGAGGGAATGTAGATTAATGTAGTCTAGCTGAAAGGCAAGTGGGAACATGTCTAAAAATCTTTCAAATGTAGCATAAGTAGCCCTTGGCCCAGCAATTTCACTTCTAGGAATTTATATCAAGGAGCTAAGATGGGATAAGTACAAAGACTTAGCTATTTATAAGAGCAAAAAGCTACAAACAGCATAAATTTCTAACTACAGGGACTGAGTTCAGTAAGTTGTGGAAGATCAGGACAAAAAAATAATCACTAAAAACAGTACGGGATGGAGGTGAGGCAGCAGGGAGGAAGGTGTGGCCATAGCAATGGTAAACCCAACACCAGGGATCTCATGCACTGTTGGCGTGAATATACCAACCTATACAGGTGATAAATTTGTGCTGCAGCATTGCAAAACTGTTACCAGTGAGGGAAGCTGGGCAAATTGTACAAAGTGTCTCTGTATGATATCTTACAATTATATGTGAATCTACAATCATTTTAGCTAGAGAAGGACATTTATTAACATGGAGCTATGTTTCTAGTAGATTGCAGAGTGCTAGTTAATAGCCAACAATTCATACAAAGTGATGGGTCTACAATATGTAAATGTTAGGTTAAATCAGAAGATGGAGATAAAGGAAAGTAATTAAGTCTCTCCTATTTATAGTTCACATTCAGTAAAATAAGTGCAGTAAATCTGAGGTTTCATCTACAGGAGCAATATTCATAGTTAATAAAAGTCAAAACAACATTATTCACAGTACCATTCCTCTTTTAAAATGTTATATACATCTAGAGGCCCGGTGCATGAAATTTTGTGCATGGATAAGGTCCCTAGGCCTGGCCGGCGGCCTGGGCCAATCTGTGGGGCAACCGGTGGGGCAATCAGGGGACCCCCACTGACACCCGCCTTGGCTGGCCTGGGGCCTGTGGGCTGGGGGCAGCTCCTCTATTGAGCATCTGTACCCTGGTGGTCAGTATGCATCATAGTGACCAGTCATTCCACCGATCATTCTGCCGTTTGGTCAATTTGCATATTAGGTTTTTATTAATAGGGTCTTATACTCCCAATTATATATTATGCATACATTACACATACATATAGAAAAAGTCTGGGTGGATAATTTCCAAACTGTTTAAGAGTGATTCTCTCTTCAGGATGGGATTCTGAGGGCTAGTCTCTCCTTGATGCTTATCTTTATTTCATGACAGTTCTACAGTGGGAATGCCTCACATTTCCACCTCCCATTTCTATTCTGGCCTCCTCCTAGTGTGAGGGACTTGTGCAGATAGTCCCATGCTCCCTTTCTGGCTCACAGACCTCAGCTCCCACACCCCATTACACTATATTATCTTTCACACACACCAACCCCTTCCTATGCCTGTGCATACACCCTGCTGGACTGTTTTGCTGGCTTACTTTACTCTGCCCCAAGCACAGCTCAGTGAAACACAACTCTGTCTGCTGATAGACAACTCTGTCTGCTGCATACCTCTCCCTGTCCCTACTAGGAAGTGGGGATCAGAAAGAATGGAGGTTCAGTGATGCTGCACTTTTGCCCAAAGACACACAGATTGCATGGGATGGAGATGGAATTTCACATTCAAGTCCAGAGTGCCTTCCATGATACCACAGCTATCATTCTTGTTTCTCTTCCTTCTCTCCTCACCACTCCCTCCCCAAGGAACCAGTGAGGGGCGTGGCTTTCCTGGTCCTGCCACTATTGAAAGCTGACAGACATCCTGAGTTACCTGTGGCACCTCCACAGCTGATATGGAGAAGGCATGCAGGCAGAAGATCTTGGAACCGTTGTAGCCGACCACAAAGCCCTGCAGCTTCTGCTGGTGCACGGGGAAGGTGCTAGCTTTGATGTTGAGGTAGCCTCCTCCCGAGAAGCAGAGCATGTCCTCACACTGGGTGTTCCAGGCCACACTGTTGGCATTCGGTTCCTGAGGGATAGGGATGGTGGGAACTATCATCGTAGGCTTTGGCACAATTCCTACACTCAGTCAAGTTCTCTTTTTAAAGCCTGAATCACATTAAATTGCTAACAGTGGGATAGAGGGAAAGGGAAGAAAAGGGGATTGGAAGAAATGGATAGGGAGAAAGAGGCAAGCACTTCTATGCACTTTTGTGTTAGAATTTTTGAATAAGCAAGCATTCGTTTTGAATAAAAATTATTATTCCCAAATATTAATCATTACATAAAAAGTGAGAAACTCAGCAAAGTAGATTCTACTTCTGTATGGAAGAATGTTTAAAGGAATATATTCTAAAGAATTAGTAGTAGTTGTCTTTCAGTGGGTGCTTTATATTTTCTGTTTTTTATTTGCCTGAAATTTTCTTTTGGTTATGAATATTTATTTTTATAATAAAAAAAGAACAGTGGGATATTTTAAATTAAAAAATAATATATTGTCTCCACATTTATAATCCGCACACTGTAAAAATACAATCACCCTGGGAGGTACTCCCTTGCCCCACCTCCTCTCAAAGATTTCTGCTCAGCTCTAGAGACTCAGGGACCAGCAGAAGTTCATATCTTTCTGCTTAGAATCTTTTACAATGACTAAATATTTTATAATGAGCAAATATTATTTTTATAATGAGAAAGAAAACATATAACTGTTTGCATTTGCAGTGGTAAGGCAGAAGAGAGAAGAAAAAATAGCTGGAATGTTTATGACCCCTAGCAAGGGCTGAGAATTACCTTTCCCGGCCTACTACAGAAAACCGTCAGTGGGGACAGGGAAGGACACACACCTTTCCACTCCTATATGGTTCTAGGCTGGACACAGATTCCCACCTGGGAACTGCTAACCTACCTACAGGGGGTTGTGTTAAGGCTGGGGAGATGAGAAGTAACTCTGAAGGCCTATCTTGTGGTAGGCACTATGGTGTCTTATTTAGTCCTGTAGCAATTCTATGAGGGGAATTATTAGTTCTATTTTAGAGGTAAGAAGAAATTGAGACTCAGAGAGGCTCACTAACTTGCTTGAGAGATGAAGGCAGAGCTGGATCCCAAATATGTCTGAAGGCAAAGCTTATGCTCTTTCTTTCCCCTAAAACCACTCTGCCTCTCCCCAGTTATGAGTGAAATGTTATCAACTGGGAGTCACTGGGGCTAGTGGTAGCCAGAAACCTCCTTTCAAATGACTGAGATAGCACCCTACCGCAGAACCCTTCCACCCTGCTGATTTTATCGCTGAGGACAGGGAGGAGACCTCAATCTGCCCATTATACTGGGAAAACTTTAGTAGTTGAGAAAGCCAATCAGTAGAGGTTTTAGCTTTGAGGGAATTCACTTCAGGCAAATAGGCCCTGACCACTTACAAAGCCCTAAAGAGGCAAAGAGCTGCACTAAGTCCAGTAGAAAGCCAACCAGGCACTGGGCATAGAGCCTTTGGGCTCTCTTCTCTAATGACATGCTTCCTCCAGCCACAGGATCAAATGATGTGTAAACAATGTCTATCCGCAAAACAGTTCACATTTTGCTGGCTATTCTAGCATCCTTGTGAAATAGCAGGGAGGGCTTCCCTCATGTCTCCCCTTCCTTCAGATGACAAAACTGGGCCTGTTTCCTCACTGTGTCTTAGATCATTCAAAGATGCAGGCAGCTTCCAGGAGGTGAGCAGCAGACTTTTTCAAAATAATCATCATCACTTTAACCCATACACTGATAGCCTACAACATGCCACACTTAGATTTATTATTACTCATTTACTGCTCTCAGTAATCTTGTAAGAAAATGTTACTTGTCTATCTTACTTGTAACGAAGTTCAAAGAGACTCACTTTGCTCCTGCAGCTTATTTATGGGAGGGGTTGGCTGTGTCTGCGGCCTCTTAGACTCTGCACCCCTGCTTAGACCCTTACACCTCACTGCTCCTTTCAGAGACCCACCTGGAATCCAGAGCACAAGCACCTCCTATAAGGACTGGGAAGCTAGAGGAGAGTCTCTACTCAAAGGATCATGTGCTGGACACTCCCTGGGACTTCACCTGAAAAAGCAACTCCTTGGTGTGAATGTCATAGACCAAGCATGTATCGTTTTCATCCACCACGGCCAGCTTTTTTCGAGAGGCGCTCATGTCTAAGCAGCGCACGGCTGTGGCCTGTTTCAGTAGGACAATGGCAAAGAGATTGTCCACGAAGATCTTCAGAATCTGGCAAAATTTCAGAGAAAAAAGTGTGAATCACCATGGCAACAAGACCCTGGAATACTGCCAGGCTGTTGGAACCCATGTGTTCTAAAAAAACACAACTCCCACTAACTTCACTAGAGGCTCTGTGTAGAGAAAAGGACTCATCAAAAGAACGGGATCAGGGCTTATCCTTAGGAGAACAGAGTGTGGTTCATCTGAGGTCACCAAAGTAATGACATGTTGGCCCCAAGACTTGACAAACTTACTTGAAAGTCTGCCTGACTGGGGATTTGTTAATGACATTACCCAACTGTAGGGTTAGGAAACACAATTCAGCAGAGGTCTGAGTAACTAATACAGGAAGAGGCTACTGTAAACACTGACAAAACATCTGGTATAACCACTGCAAAATGATGATGAGGAGGATGATAATGATGATAAAGCAATCAGTAATAGACTATTTTTGAGAGTTCTGTAAAATATTATCCTCATTTGTAAAACCTGAGTCTCAGAGAGGTGAAGTCACCTGCATAAAGTCACATAGCTAGTGAGTAGCTAAACACAAATATGACCCCAGGTCAACCTGCCTCCAAAGTTCATGCTTTCAGGCCTCCCACTGGAGGTGACATTATGACAAAAAACACATTCCTCCCCTTTGGTATTGCTATTCTATGCTCCCTGCTGATGCATACTCTATGACTCCCATCCTCAGGAAAGGCCTGACAAGCCACCACAAGCCATCTGCTAGACAGCTTGGCTCTCAGGCTAATGCAGTTACATTTTTACTTTCAAATTTCCATGAAGCCCACTTAGAACTTTTCTTATTTTGAACAAAGAACACATACGGAAAATGGTTCGACTTTGTATAACTTAGATTTTCCGCATCTATTTGAACAAAGGGCCCATTTTTCTTATAATATCTAGTAATAGCCTACAGACCAGTACCTTGTAGGACACAAGCTAGAACATACTGTCTTAATCCATTCACTGCTCTAATAGGGATCTGACCTAAGGAATGATCTCTACCTCCCTCTCTACCAAGCCACAGAAACTGCTCCTCTAACAAATCTCTCACCATCTGGGTGACTTTAAGCCCACTAATCTACTCAACTCTTGGCTCAAATGTGCAGTGCCAACTCTGCCAGAATGGGGTATGCTATGAGTCTGAGAACCACCTCTTCTTTGGCCTGAGGCTATCCTTATAAAAGGTAGCTCTAATGTGCCCATGAAAACCCATCTCAGGGTCATAACTTGACTGGCTGCTTGCATCTGCATGCTGATAGTCAGACTGATGGGCAACCCGAAAGAGCACTCACCTGTCCATTCTTCAGGCCCACCAACAGACCTTCCCTTCCTGGAGGGCCACCAATCACCTTGATGTAGCGGATGAGAGATTCCATCTGCCACTCACGCTCTTTCACTCCACTGAAGGACAGGCACTGCAGCCGTTTCTCCTAGAAAGCAACCCGCGCCTCTGTATGGACGTTCAACAGAATAAGTGTTCCCTAGCCCTCCAAAGGAGGTCTGCCTGCCTCTGAGGGATGAAAAACACTTTATATTCAGGATCTGTCTAACCTAGTCCCCATGATTGGTATCATTAATCCTTCATGAAAGTCTTCCCATGGATCCTCCCTCAGCCTCAGATCTTCTGTGCAGTCCTCTAAGCATCGAAAACACACCTGTTTGTCATTTCTATACTATAAACCTGTGGTACCCCTAAACTCTTAAAGTTCTAGACTTTTAGAGATATTTTAATAATATTTTATATCTATAGTGATACCTAAAGGAATCCATTTTATCACTTCCAATAGGCCTAGTTTCATGAAACAAAATTCACCTCTACTTCCAAGAACGATGCTGGGTTGGCCTTCTCTCAAAATCTTTCCAAAATTCTCTTGGCATTGACCTAGACATTTTCTAGGAAGCTCTAAGTTGAGAAATTTTTTTCTGTGGGAAAAAAATCTATCAGAAAGTAAAAACTCCCTTTACTGTTTTGAATTGAAATACATTATTTTTTTTTATTTAACTGAAGGATATAATAAATTTTTATGTGTATATGTTTACCAAAAAAAAAAAATCAATCTTCATTTTGTGGGATATCAATTTAGGCTTTAAGTTATTAAAATATACATAATTCCAGTATAACAAAGTGCATTGTTTTTAATACAAAAAAGAAGTTGTCTCCTTTTTGTGGCCCATGAACTTTCTAGTAGAGTCTGACCATATAAATGTCAACAAAATAAAAGCAATAACCAATTCCTAATGAACAAAAAGTCCTGAGTTGGGTACCTTCTCCTTGGAGGAAGCCTGATCTGCTGCTGCTTACCTGGCAGAGGATGATGTGATCAGAGCACACCACCAGGAGGTTGCATTCAAACTTTTTGACAATCCTCTCCTTTACCCGGTAACGCATGTCTGATGAATCATCTGAATACAACTCATAGATGATGATTTTTTCTGGCACTTGGATAGCTAATCGATTTTTGTAGATGGCAATTTTCTTGACAAGCTCTTTGCATTTAATCCGAACTGTCAAAGGAAAAAAAATCCAGTTCTAGTAAGAGGTTGTTAAGTAAGGTAGACGGCAGAGAAATGAAAAGCTATCATTTACTTAATGTTATTGGCAATTAAAGGAGATGCTCTCATCAAAAAATCTTTAGAGTGCCTAACATTTATAATCAGCTCTGTTAAACACTGGGATCCAAAGTCTTATATAATCTTTGTGATCCAAAACTTACAACTGAATATGGGAAATGAAATGCTTAATGCTACCATCACTTGCTGAACATAAATCTAAACTCCTCTGAATGGCACTAATGGCCCCTGATGATCAGAAGCCCACCTGAATGACTGCCCACAACTCTGGTCACTCTCCAAACACCACCCTTGACAACAGTAAACCATGTGTAGTTTGTGGAGTACACTAAACTCTCACACTCATTATGAACCAGATGGAGAAAATGTCTCCAGAAAGGATGCTTCAAAGCTGTCCAAGTGCTACACCCTCACCATCACTTTTGGAATCTTTAGATGGAGGTGCTCCTAGATGGGGACCAAAGAATGTCTGTCATCTGAATCTGCAAGACAACTCCCAACCAGAATCCCTATGCACAGGCATCTGGCAGTGTGCAGTGTCCAGTATATCTGGATATGAATACACTTGAAACAAGTGGATTCTTAGCCTATCCAACCAGCCCACCTCCTTGGGTGAATAGAAGAAAAGACTGAGTATGGACTGACTGCACTAGGCCTGGAACCCTGATCTGATTGAGCTTGTGGTACCCCACTAACCCTGATTAACTCTGGGCAAGGACCTGCCAGGAGGCAAGTTGAGATGTAGCTGAGGGAGAAGTACCCCAGAAGTGCCTGTGACCAGAAAGCATGCAGGTCTACAAAGACCCATGCAGGTCAGCCACCATGACTCTGACTTGATATACATTATCCTCCCTTAGTTAAGAAGTACATGTTCCCCTGGAATTATCTGCAAAATTTTGTGAGTGTGTGGTATTTTTTGAGAAAGGGTTTCTTGCTTTCATTAGATTCTCAAAAACATCTATATTTCTCCTCACCCCACCTACACACACACACACACACATACACACACACACACACCAAAAAAAAAAAAAAAATTTACTGGTCCAACGTGTTTCCAAAAGACCGAGGAGAAATATTTCCTACCATTTCACTTGCCCTGTCAGCAGTCCTCTCCACTACGCCTCTCCCAAGTATCTAGAGGGTAGAGGGACTCTACCTTTCTGCTCAGTGATCAGGTGCTGCACGATGACATCAGTCATGCTATCCCTATATGCATACCGGTCCTTATAGAGCCCATGGACAGTGCTGAAAATAAGCTGGTAGAAGGAAATGGTGCCATCCTGGCAGCCTACCACCTGCAGGGAAAGAGAGGTGTCAATTCCCAGCTCTCTGTGGAGAAAGCGTCTGCCTTCCCATTTGTCAGGAACAAACATCAATGATTTGACTGACTAAGCAGGCCTGATGTTCAGTTCCTATCAGACCATGGCCCAATAAAAAACGAACTCCCTCTTCTTACCACGTAGTTGGAATCAGGCTTCACTTTGCAAGTCCACACCCAGGAGTTCTGCTCCCCAACAGTCCCGAGCCGCACTCCATCCTTGGTGAAAAGGGATACTTGCTTGTCTGACCCTCCCAGTAAAATGTACTCCCCTTTAGTGAAGTAGCTGACACAGCAGGGGTCAAAGTTCAGTGGCCGATCCTTCCCAATCTGAGAAAAGAGAACATACACTAAAGGAAAAAACAACTTCTGAATCCTGAAACTCAATCAATGTTAGCTATTATTATTATTATTATTATTATTAAGCCATATCCCTTTAAATGTCAAAAACACTTAAAATGCCAAAAATACACAAGTTATGCCTAAGCCTAACATAAGATTTACTTCATCATCCCATATTTCATTCTAAATCTTCCCAGAATTAAAAGATACTTACACAAGAAAACAATTTTACTGTTCCAAATAAGCTGGGGGTTACTTTCTCAGAAGACTGAGGTTGCTTATTAGTCAAAAAACTCGGGGATACAACATGACATGATATTTCCCATGGCCTGGCTTCCATATCGAGCTTTTTTTATTGTCACTATAGCAGCAAGACCCCATTTCCACTTAGCATAGTGTGGTTATTTGTTCTAGGAAACCTCTAATACCCAACCTCAGTGCCAGATACACAGTAGATGTGCCAATAAATATATATTAAATTATTACGGACATACATTAAGTGGATGAAACTAGTAGATAGGACCAAGGAAACTGGATGCTAGATAATTAAAATGATTGTTCTGAGAAAACAGCCATAGGAAACTGAGAAAATTCTTAATTATCTACAACCTTTTTTTTTTTTTTTTTAATCTACAACCTTTATTTTTACTTGACTACAAAAGAAATGAGCAATGGTAAGGTGAGGCAGAAGAAATGGCTCCACATTAGGCTAAACATACCTAAAACCTCACTCTGGCACAGTAAGTTATGAGAAATAAAGATGCTGTTAAACAAAAGGCTCCATTGAAGTGGCTGCATTTCTCATTTGCTTGGCTGTGGTAGTAAACCATCCCACCATCTTCACTCTAATCCTCAATGTCTCCAGTCTCATAACAGATTTCCTACCACTAGGCTCTCTCTATTCTAATCCACCCTCCATAGAAATAAGGAATTCTCTGAAACAAGAATCTGACCAAGTCGTTTCCTACCTAAATCTATGGCTCCGAAATACTCACAGAATACGATATACAATCTTGTCTCATCTTCCTTTCTAGCACCATCTTCTCTCCACAAAACTTGGGACCCAGTCACCCTGAACAACTCACTGTTCCCTGAGTTGTCATCTATTTTCATTCCTCCCTGCCTTTTCAGATGCTATTTTCTCTGCCTGAAACACCATTCCCAATGCCCTCTGCCTAGCAAACTCCTGCTTATCCTGCTCAAAGTCACCTCTATAAAATCTCCCATCTCCACCAAGCAGTGATGTCACCCTTGTTTGTATCCCTATAGCTATCTCTCTGTACAGCTCTCTGTCGTGCCATGTATCACTACACTGGGACTGTTGGCTATTGAGTACGTCCCCAGTGGCCTGTGAATCTGGCAGAGCAGAGGCATTAACTTACAAAGCTCAATGTCAGTGGCTCTTAGTACAGGTGAAGGGCTGGCCTAAAAGGGTGCTTATAAATGTGGGTAGGATGGAGAAAGCAAATATAGAAGGTAGGGTCATGACCAAGATCAACCCTTTACAGTCAGACCAATCTGGGTTTCGATCCCATGTGCCACCATTAACCAGCAGTGTGAAACCTCAGGCATAGTATTTATTCACTGCTCTGAGTCTTACCTGTTCATTTATTACAAGTTGATAATCACAGGGTTTTATTAGACTTAAATCAGATAAAGGATGCACAGCCTAGAGCACAGTGCCTGGTATCACAGCAAATAACTCAGTAAATAGAAGAAAACAACAAAAAGTTAAAATTACTAATAATACAGCCTCAGAAAGTGAAAAACTTCTACAGGCATGACTGTAACTGCATACCTGTTTTCCACTTAGTTGATAGAAGGAAAGTTTCTGCCCCCAATCAGCTACAGCCAGGATGTCATTACGTTCCTCTCTAATCAACAGAAGACAATAGATGTTATGAGGGGCCATGGTCTGCTGATGAGTTAGCCCTAAGGGTTTTACAAACAGGAAAAAGAAAGCCCTGGCCAACCTGTCAGGTTGCCAAATGTTGTACAGTAGCGCTGAGATTAGGTTGTAACAGGGGCCAACCCATCAATCAGCCCAATAGGATGAGGGGAAGCAAGGCTCGATTCAACCTTCCTGGGATCTATTATTTCCCTAAATGCCCTACAATGAGCTTGTGGCACCGGTAAAGCTAAAACCCTCATTTCAAAGCTTCCTGTGGAGCAACAATAAGGGCAAGGCTGCAGACTCAAGAGTGCTTTATTCTTAGATACACACAGTATAGGGAGAGAGCGGAGAAATGTCTTTTGCAGTGGGAAGGCATGGATTGTCTGACTTTTTTAATAGACGGAGGAAACCTTGCTCTTCTTGAAGAGGGAAAATTAATACCTAAACTAGGTTCTCTCACAGTTGGGGTGAAATGGTGTCTGACGGGATATTATAAAAATAAAAAGTAATGGCCTCTCTAATGATCAAAACTGTCTTTGAAACTAGTCCCTATCAGGATCAGTGACTTGGGACCAGAACTGTGGGACCAGCACACAGGAGAAACTGAGGCTGGGGATCAGGCTACCTGGGAATCTCATTTAAGAGTTTAATCCCTGCCTTTGAGGCCTGGCCTTAGCCACCTAATGTTGCCTCCTCTTCATTTATTAGGTCCAGTTTTCCTAAACCCAAACCCGTGTGTCAACTGGCAGCACCATTAGATATGCAGGCCAGGAATGGTGCAGCCTTATCTGCAAAATCCAGCCAAGAGTGTAAAGTGGCAAATACCATGGGCACTAATTCACAACTAAGGTGGGGAAGGAGACAAAGACCAAGAGCGACGTTAGCAGGAAGGGACCTGCAGATAAACTTTGTGTGACTGCCACTGAAGTCTAAACATAGTCTAGGAGGCCAGCCTGCAGTGAGCCCTCTTGGGCATGGCATATATGCCTATCAACTGGGTTCAAGCCCCATGAACCGAGTTGGTAGCTTTTAACCTCTTTTTTTCATTCTCTTCCCCCCCCTTACTTCTCTCCCTCCCTTCCCCCCTAGACAGTGGGTCTCTACAAAAAAAAAAAAAAAAAAAAAATTAATGTTAAGTAATTAAAAAGGATTATTCTGTTTGAAGCACAGATGGGACCTGAAGCCCACCTCTCCCTCCTTCCCTCAACCCCCACTCCCACCTCCTTGTTTGGAAAGTTCCAAGCCAGACTATGTTTACCCAATCAGAAAATCCTGGCTATCTCAGCTTTTCCATTCCAGAAAGAAAGAAAGAATGCCTGGACAGCCAGGATTTGGGTAGTGAGGATTATGGGTAAATTGAAGCCTTCTTCTCTGATATGTGCTCTAGGAAATGCAAGGTAAGGTGCAGTGTAGGAATAGGCTAAGAAAGGTGTCCAGTAATAGAGAAAGTATTAAGTGAATTATGGTACATCCACACGGGGGCGTACCATGCAGATATTCAAAATCACGTTTCCAAAGGACTTCTAATGTTACTAGAAAGAGTACTCTCTGTGATGTTAAGTGGAAAAATAGAAAGTAGGATGTGATTTAGTAAATTATATGAACACATTGAGGGGAAATACAATCAAATGCTAACAGTGGTTTCCTCAAAGGATAAAGTTTTAGAGAAGAGTTGGACTTTTTCCTTTAGACTTTTCAGTATTTTCTGGTCGCTCAAGGGATGATTTTATAATCCAAACACAAGTTTTAAAAGGTGTGTTTCCCCCGTATTGGAGGAGCTTTCACCAACATCGACCTCAAACCCTCTTCGAAAAGAGCTTAGAGCAGCATCTGCCCCAGCAGGTCTGCTCCGGGGTCTTGTCCCTCCAAGGAGGGTTCTTACTCCTCGGGACACACTCACAAGTTGTCGTCCCTGAGACTGTCGTCCTCTTCCTCTGGCTCTTCCTCCTCTGCCTCACTACCCTGACTACTGTACACTGCTGACTTCAGAGTGGAAGGAATTTCCTGAAAATATCTGTTGACAATGACTTCCTCGGCATCCTCGTTCTCTCTGTTCATCCAGAAACTCTCCCATCGGCTGCAGACAATAAGTGGTTGTTCACAATCACAATGCCTAGAACTACACTAAAGCAATAATTTCAAAACCTGTCAAGGAGCCCCTGAACCCAGCCGGAAGAGGACCGCAACCAGGTAACCTGGGCATCCTGCTTCTCATGAATTAAAAATGGTACCCTGAAGCCACAAAGTCATCTGTGGCCACAAAATCAAACAGCAGGAACTTGGGGGTAGGCTAATGGCCTTTGAAGGCATTAGACATGTATGGTACAGCTTTGGGCTGGACAAAATTATTCAGGAAGAAGCATAATAATCTGGTATAGAAAGGCAGTGGAATTGCACAACCTTCTAAATCAAGTAGGCACCACCTGTAAAGTGACATTGGGCTGGTAAACAATTAAGTTCTTTAATTTACCTTCAGAGGACTCTGTGAGAGATATTGGTGGTTTATTATTATAAGATTACATAAACAGCATATAAAGATATTAGCCCACCCTCAAAATCACATTGGCATAGAAAGAAAAGTGTGTGTAAGGTTTGAGAAAGTAAATGCCAATTGTTTGTGGGACTATAGAATTTGGGGACACTTATAGACACTTATAGACTTAGGCTTTTAGGGGCAAGGGCAACAAAATGACTCATGAAAAAGCTATTTATTATTGGGTGGGCACATTTTCTGCCCAACTTGGAGAAAAGAACTGAAAAAGAAAAAATACCAAAATAAAGCCACAGCAAAGAGGTGAGCTACTAATTCATAAGAAAATGGCCCTCTGTGTGGTCTGTGTGTGTATCTCAAAGTGCTCACACACATCTCAAAGTGTGTTTGAGCATCTCAAAGTGCTCACACACACTTTGGGATGGCCTAAATAGCTCATCTGCTTAGCTAAATTTCTGGGATTCATTCCAAAACACAAGATGGGCTCTTCAAAAATTTCATTCAAATGGAACAGGTTCCAAAACATATCAGTCAAGTGGGCTGAGAAGCCTCTGAATGCATGGAGAGCCCTTATGAGGATAGAAAGAAACAGTGTGCTCTAGAGAGAGGAGAGCTGTAAGAGCACCTTGAAGGGTTCCAGCAGATGGACCATATCGGAGAAAGGGAGCCCCCAGGCCGCTCGATCTTCACTTTCTCGTCGCCATTTTTGTTCCGTAGGCTGATGACTCCATTGAACATCCCCAGAGCCAGGTACTGACCATCATTTGTCCAGCTGTTCACATACCAGCAAAGGGCACAGGGAGAGGGAAAGGAACACAGGAAAGTAAAAACCGGTGAGGATGATGACTTGGTTGCTATAGAATCTGATGAGGCAGCAATGGTTAGGCTCATCTTGGGGATGATGTAAAAATTAGAGGACCAGACTTAAAATCCCACTTATTTCTGGGATCAACAGATCGATGAGAAGACAGGAGCCCCTTTTTCTGAGTTCTCACAGCTCTCTGTACAGTTGAAAGCCCTTAGCTTGTGCCTGCATTGCTGGGTCAGCCTCCATTCCCCACTCACCATTTCAACATACTCCCACTTTAAGAACACATTACAAACAAAATCTATGTCTTGCTGTATACTAGGCTTCTAGAACAGGTGTTTAACTGACGTTGAATGAAAATAAGTCATTTTTTAAAAAAAAGAAAAAAAAGAAAAGAAGTCTACACTCAGAAGCTGAATAAGAATAGCAATCATTTATAGAGTGTCTTCTATATGCCTTCTATATGTCTTCTGTGCTGTATGCTTTTAGATTCTTTAGTTAGTGTGCATTTCATAATAGCACTATCAAATCAGTAATTTTACCCAGTAATGTCATATGAGGAACCCGAGGCTCCAGCTCAGAGAGATTTTATAACTTTCCTAAGGTTACTGAGCCTGTCAGTCATCCATCTGGATATGAATCCAGGTCTAGCATCAAAGCCTATGCTTTCCCCAGTGTGCATGCTGCCTGAAAAGGACAATCTTGCATCTACAGATAGTCTCCACTGAGGACCACTGTAGGCTGAGGAGGTTTGTAACTACCGTGTTTCCCCGAAAATAAGACACCCTCTGAAAATAAGACCTAGCGCATGGAAAAATAAGACATCCCCTGAAAATAAGATCTAGCGCATCTTTGGGTGCAAAAATTAATATAAGACACTGTCTTATTTTTGGGAAAACAGGGTAGATGACTGCATGAAAGCAATTTATAGTTTTCTTTTGCTTGTACAAGTCCTTCCTACCAAGAAGACCAGAAAAGAAGACAAGAGGAAATACAGGGGCCCAAACCAACTAGCTAACACAGACTTTCTCTACTATATGAATTTATTGTATTTTGAGAGTCTGTTTAGACAAGAAGGGAATATAAAGTCTACCTTCAGAGTTGTCTCTAACTCACCTACAGCAGATGATCTTGCTGCTGGATTTGTGCTTGGAGACAGACTTCTGTTCAGGAGACCACAAGCCTTCAATGAGAAATAATATTTTAAAAAGGAAGATTGGTGGGAATATCACTCAGCAATAAAAGAGGAACAAAAAACTGATACACAGACAACTCTGAGGATCTCTGGAGCTTTATGCTCAATCTTTAAGCTGATCTTAAAAGGTCACACACTGTATGATTCAACTTTATAAATTCTTGAAATGACAAAATTATATAGAAATGGAGAAGAGATTAATAGTTACCAGATGTTAGGAATAATAGGAAGTGTAGCGGAGTAGATGATGATAAGGAGTATCTTTATAGTGGTAAGAAACCCAGCTTCCTGGTTTTGATATTATATAACAGTTACATAAGATGTATTCATGGGGAAACTAGATGAAAAGTACATAAGGCTTCTCCATTATCTTTGCAACTTACTATGATTCTATAATTATTTCCAAAAAAAGAAAGAAAAAGGAAGATGGATTAGTGAATTTATAGCCAACTTTTCAGGGGTTTTACTCAGAGAAATGGCAACTTCAGTGTAAATAACTGTTACATTGTAACCAGAGTACAACTTAGCATTTTATTATATAGGAATGATGCTTTCTGGGGATCTCATTTCCACTCCCAGGCCTCGCCCACGTGAACATGACCATGATCCTAAACAAGCTGTCTTGTCCATGGCACAGTGGTCACCTTTAGCTTGCTCCCTCCTGCCCCAGATGCTCTGGCTTAGGGTCCCACAACAGGCAAATTCTACCTTTTGCCTGAGCCATATGGCATAACCAAGAAAGTAAATATAGTGTGAAAATCCTACCTAATAAAAGAGTACTATGCAAATTGACCATCACTCTGCTACACCCACAAGCCATGCCCACTAGCCACACCCACCAGTCCATCGGAGCGAGTATGCAAATAAAGCCAACCAAAATGACTACAGCCACAGAGGCTTGGGTTTCCCTGGCAATGGAGGAAGCCAAGCTTTCCGCCTGCCCTTGCCAGCCTAAGCCTTCACTCCAGGCTACAAAGTTTCAATTATAGAAGGTAAACAAATTCCAACAGAAATGGCAGCCAGTCACAGAGCGATCAGGAGGCTTGGCTCTGCTCCAGGCTACAAATTTTCAATTGTAGAAGATACATAAACCCCAGATACCAGGGCCTCTGCTTGGGTCGTCAGGTGGCATGGCTGGCCTACAAATCACTACAGGCCCCTCACCCAGGCCACCCTCAACCCCAAAGGAATCCCCACCCTGATCTAGGACACCCTTCAGGGAAAACCAGCTGGCCCCCACCCATGCACTAGGCCTCTATCCTATCTAATAAGAGTAATATGCAGATTGACCATCACTCTACCACACAAGATGGCTGCCTCCATGTGGTCAAAGATCCTGCCCCCATGTGGACACAAGATGGCCGCCACAAGATGGGGAGGGCAGTTGGGAGGGACCAAGCCTGCAAGGGAGGACAGTTGGAGGCAATCAAGCCTGCAGGGGAGGGCAGTTAGGGATAACCAGACTGGCAGAGGAGTGAAGTTGGGGGTGACCAAGCCCGCAGGGATGGGCAGTTGGGCAGGACCCAGGCTTGCAGGGAAGAGCAGTTGGGGGGACCAGGCCTGTAGGGGAAGTCCATTAGGGGTGATCAGGCCTGCAGGGGTGGGCAATTAGGGGTGATCAGGCCTGGAGGGGAGGGCAGTTAGGGACAAACAGGCTGGCAGAGGAGCAATTAGGCATCAATCAGGCTGGCAGAGGAGTGGTTAGGGGGTGATCAGGCTGGCAGAAGCAGTTATGGGCAATCCTGGATTGTGAGAGGGATGTCCCACTGCCCATTTAGGCCCGATCCCACCAGAATCAGGACTAAATGAATAGTCGGACATCCCTCAAGGGATCCCAGATTGGAGAGGGTGCAGGCTGGGCTGAGGGACACCTTCCCTCCGTGCACAAATTTCATGCACCGGGCCTTTAGTATATTTATATGGTAAGGTGCAACATCAAACAAATGATTTTTCTCCTTTCCCCTGATCCAGAATGTCTCCCCCAAAATTTCCAACTAGCATATTATCTGTGCTCCACTGAGCCTGTCTGGAAATCCTCCCTCTTGGGCCTTCCTCAGCAGTGCTTACATGACTCAAGTTCAATCCCTGGTCCTACCACTTACTTACTTGCTGGGTAACCAGTAACTGCTTGCTCTAAGCCCCAATTATTGGAGTGAGAATGAGAATAATAACCTGACCTAAAGGGTTGTCATAGAGCTCAAATAGGAATTAATTTTTTACCTAGCACACCACAAGCATTCAATAAGTACTATTATTACTCACTATTACATTTTTACAAATTCTACCTCCCCTCCTACCCGACTACAAATTCTTTGAGAGCAGGGATTCTATTTTCTCTTCTTACTCCCAAAAGTAAGCACATTGACTAGATCCTCACATGGAGAAAATGCTCTATTTTATTAATGAATAACAGTCGTTTGCCCTTTTATTTATACACTAGAAGCTTGGTGCATGGGTGGGGTCCCTCAGAGTGGCCTGTGAGAATCGGGCCCCAGCTTGCGCCCCCAGCCTCACACCCCATAGCCCCACCTGGCACCCAGCCTTGGCCTGATGCCACCCCTTCACTTGCTCCATCAGCCCACCTGCAGGGCAGTCAATAAGGGCTGGGGACCCCCTTGCCTGGCTCTCTCAGCACCTGGGAGTGGGCGACAGCCCCACCCCCCGCCACCACTGTCTGTGGGGCAATCAATGGGGTTCACACCTGCCTTGGCCTGGCACCACTTGCTCCACCATCCCATTGTGATCCCACTCTTGTCAGAGCCCATTGGGGCCAGCAGCACCTCTACTGCTGCCCACTGCTGCTGCTGGTTACCCACCATGTTCCGCACCGCCCCCTGGTGGTCAATACACATCATAGCAAGTGGTTGAACTCCTGGTCAAACAATGGTCTGAGGGGACAATGTGCGGATTAGGCTTTTATTATATAGGAAGATTCTCTCTTTTAAACCTCAGAACTTTTATCAGTGAGATAAATGGTAGAAACACATTCATCTAGATAAGTAAAGTCAAACACTGACAGGAATTAAATCTCTGACTTCTTGGTAATGGCTGATCTATTATATCTACTATCTCTTAGCACAAAAAAAACAGAATTGATGAACTCAAAGCCAGAAGTGACCTTGAGTAGAGATAACCTACAAGCTTCTGCTTACTTTCCCTCCCTGCCTCAATGGACACTACACTGTGCCAGCACTATGCCAGTGCCAAGGCCAGGGTGAAATGCCTCAAAGCATTCAACCCCTCAGAGAGGACAGCTATAGCCACCACACCGGTAGCAATGGTAAAACACTGCACAAGAAGCACAGTTAAAATGGTGAAGAATCTCACACATACACAAAGGACACAAAAGTAGAGACAACTGGACTGTCTGTGAGGCATGGAAGGCTGTAAAAACACCAAGTAATACCAGTGCTCTCCATTTTCCATTTTCCTTCCTTGAGGCCTTTCTTGCTGTTTCCCAGATTTCTTACCAGACTCAGTGTCATCCTTCACTCTCTTGGATTCTACACAATTTAAAGAATAACTATTGTTTCCCCAACCTTGCCCATCCTCCAGCCAATTAAGGAAGAAAAATATCGTAACTCTCTTGGGACAAAACCACCACCTTCTGGAGAGATTTCAGTATTTTCTGCTCAAATCTGCAGTTATTCCAGGACAAGATATCAGGAACCTACCAAAATCATTAGAGGAACAAGATGCAAGTTGGTGGGTGGCAGGATTGTAGGAGACAGCCTGGATAGAATCATTGTGCCTGGGAAGTAAACAATTATAGATTATTATGCAGCACACCGCAAATGCTTTGATGGCTACAACTGAAAATTGAAATGATGAACCCACAGTCTAACTACACATCACAAGCTCTTATGCAAGTGACCAACAAAAAAGCAGAAATTAATTCTCCTTCCCCTAGATTGTCCCTCATCCCATTTTTATTTCTTAAATATTACCCACTCATCAGCTTAAATGCCACCTCCACCAGGGCTAGTGTGCTGGACACCTCTGCCTTGTGAGCTAATACAACAATGATGTAAAGCACTTAGTCTAGTGCCAGCCGCACAAGAAGTGCTTTATTAATGGCTGTTATTCTCATTGTTTTGTGGAGGCCTAGAAATATAAGATGGATGTGCAGTGAAGATATTTCAAGCTAAGCCTGGCAGGCATGGTTAAGTGTCAATGTATGAGCCACTAAGTCACATTTTGATTCCCGGTCAGGGCATGTGCCAGGGTTTGCAGGCTCCATCTCCATTGATGTTTCTATCTCTCTCTCCCTTTCCCTTCCTCTCTGAAACCAATAAAAATATGGGGGGGGGAAGCCCTAACTGGTTTGGCTCAGTGGCTAGAGCAGACTGAAGGATTCCAGGTTTGATTCCAGGCAAGGGCACATGCCCTACTTGTGGGCTTGATCCCCAGTAGGGGGTGCACAGGAGGCAGCCAATCAATAATTCTCTATCATTATTGATGTTTCTATCTTTCTCTCCCTCTCCTTTCTTTTCTGAAATAATAATATATTAAAAAGATATTTCAGTCTAAGATCTGAAAATATGGCAAATCCTTAGACAATAATGAAACCTAAGTGAGTCATGTATCACACATAGCATCTTAGACCCAGTTTTACTCTTTACTTCCGGGTAACAGTTTACTCCCAACTTCACTCATTCATTGGTTAATTCATTCAAAAGTTGTTTGGTGATTTGTACACCCATGTTTATAGAAGCATTATTCAAAATAGCCAAGAGGTAGAAGCAACCCAAGTGTCCGCTGACAACATATAAATGGATAAAGAAAGCTGGTCTATACATACACTAGAATATTATTCAGTCTTAAAAAGGAAGAGAATTCTGCCTGGCTAGTATGGCTCAGTTGTTTGAGTGTTGTCCTGGGCAAGAAATCTTGCTAATTCAATTCCTGGTCAGAGAACATACCTGGGTTGCAAGTTGGAATCAGTCAGGGAAGTACAGAAGGCAACTGATCAGTGTTTCTCTCTCATATCGACGTTCCTCTCTCTCTCCCTTCCTCTCTTTAAGCATGTGCTCCAATGAGGATTTTTTTAAAAAGAAAGAATTTTGACACATGTTACAACATGTGTCAACCTTTAGAATATTATGCTAAGTTAAATAAACCAACCACAAAAAGATAAATTCTGTATTATTTCACTTATATGAGGTCCCTAAAATAGTTAAATTCGTAGAGAAAAGTAGAATGGTGGATGTTAAGGGCTGGGGGACAGAAAGGGGAGTTGTTTAATGTGTATGGAGTTTTAGTTTTGCAAACGAAAAGAGTTCTAGAGATTGGTTGCTCAACATCATGTATATACTTAACACTACCGAACTGTACGCTTAAGAAAGCCCGGCTGGTGTGGCTCAGAGGTTGAGTGTAGGCCCATGAATCCGGAGGTGATAGTTTGATTCCTGGTCAGGACACGTGCCCAGGTTTCAGGCTTGATCCCCAGCGGAATATGTGCAGGAGATGGCCGATCAATGATTCTCTCATCATTGATATTTCTATTTCTCTCTCCCTTTCTCTCTGAAATCAATAAAAAATTATTTTCAAAAAATCATTTCTTGAGTACCTAATACATATATCAGGGACACAGGATGAACCAAAACAGATGCATCAATCACAAGATAAATGTAAAACTACAACTGTGAGAAATGCCATAAAGGAACCTGACCAGATCTAGAGGGGCAGGAAAGGTTTCACAGAAGAAACATCATTTGAATCTGAGAGCTTCAGGGTGAGTAGTGTGATCTAGGGGATAAAAAAGACTATGAGCAGAGCCTCTGCAGTGAGATAAGCCTGGAGCATTCCAACCCCAAGTTTCTGGCTGTTGCCACTGGGTGGGTGTGAGGCCATTCCCTGAGATGCAAGAGGAAAAGTTGGGACAGAGTAGAATCTATGATGTCAGATTCACTAAACTTAGCTATATGAAAACAAAGCCCAGTGCTGACCGAGCTAGTAGTGCTAAGAAATGTTCATTCAGTTACCTTCTTATACCACCACATAACTCCCAAACTTCAAGCTTAATGCAGAGAAAGAAGTTCTTCCTTATATCTTTTCTAGGTGCTTCTGCTATAGTTGCTCAATAAGGTAAGAGTCAAAATAATAATACATCTAAATTGTTACTTACGTGTACTTCAAAATGCCTTCTAATTTTGACGTCCAGATAATAACACTTTTGTCAGCTGCTCCAGAAGCAAAGCGCTTGCCTAAAATTATTTTTAAAAAGAAAATTCTCACATTTATTTTAAACCAACATTTCCCAGAATATTTCTTAGAAAACTGGTTCTTTTAAGGTCTCTAATAAGTGCCAGCTGCTCCTTCTACTTCTTCTTCTTATCAGCACTGGGCAGCAGTACTTTGGAGTCAGGAAGTTTGGGTTCAGATCCTGGTCTGTCTGGCACCGAGGAAACAAAGATGTATTGAGGGTCTACTATCTGCTAGGAATCATGTTCTGTGCTAAGGATCAAGCAGTGATTAAAGCACACATAGTAATCGCTACCTTCACAGAGTAGTGGGGAAAGCAAGCATTAAATTAATCCAATACAACTACAATATGGTAACAAAAGAAATATGAAAGAGAATAACTTGGGATACCTAATTTAAATGAGGGAAGGCTTCTCTGCTGATGAGATCCTTCAGTTGAGATCTAAAGGTTGAGCAAACCTTAGCCAGGTGCAAAGAGAGGAGAAAGCGCCACCCACATAGATAGAACAGATGGGCAGAGATGAAGAAGGAAAAGCCTGGCATGTCTAAGGGGCTGAAAGACAGCCGCATGGAACTCCAAGGACAAGGGGTAAGGAGGACAGGGGAGGGGTCTCTAGGAGCTTCGGGGCCACAATTGAGATCTTTCTCTTTATCCCAAAGAAAGGCTTTAAGCAAAAGAGTGACAGATGAGATTTTCATTTTCACACTGCTGGATTTTAGAAAAGAATGGATTGGAGAGAGGCAATATATAATTGTAATTACTTATTAATTACATTGCTACAAGTTTGCGAGTGCTTAGAAGTGGAGCAGAGCATCGTGGCAGCAAACAACAGGGAGCCTTCACCTACTCCAGTGAAAGATGATTAAGAGGTAAGCACAGGCTAGATTCTGTACACCTAGTTAAGGATGTTTAGACTTTAGGGCAACTGGAAGTTGACCTTGGCAAAGTCACTGCTCTCTGAACCTCAATGTCCTCATCTGAAATATAAGGGATAATCATAATATCTTCTTCAGAGATTCTCTGTGGGGATCAACTCAGATAATATCTGTAAAGCACCTTTCACAGTGGCTGAAACATTGATATTAGGGTGAGCCGTATGACATTACTACAAATACTGAATAATAGAAGTTGCTTTCATATGTGATTACTTCTGTCACTCCTCTCCCATCTTGGCAGGCAGTAAGTGATGAAGAGTATGGACTACAGGCTAAGAGTTTGAGTTGGAATTTCCAGTGATGTCACTTATCAGTTACATACCTTTGTATTATGGTTGTGCATGAAATACTTATTAAAACTTAAGAGACCTCTGGCCAGTGTTTCCCAGTGATTAGAGCATCAGCCATACACCAAAGGGTTGTGGGTTTGATTCCCAGTCAAGGGCACATACTTTGGTTGCAGGTTGAATCCTTGGCCCCAGTCAGGAGGTGTGCAAGAAGCAACCAATCGATGTGTCTCTCTCACATCAATGTTTCTCCCCACTTCCCCTCCTTCCCTGCCTTCCACTCTCTCTAAAAATCAATGAAAAAAATATCTTCGGGTGAGGTTAACAACAACAAAAAACTTAAGTGAGTCCTAGCCGGTTTGGCTCAGTGAATAGAGCATCAGCCTGCAGACTGAAAGGTCCCAGGTTCGATTCCAGTCAAAGGCACATGCTCGAGTTGCGAGCTTGATCCCATTGTGGGGCATGAAGGAGGCAGCTGATCAATGATTCTATCTCATCATTGATGTTTCTACTGGTATCTCTCTCTTCCTCTCCCTTCCTCTCTGAAATCAATAGACATATAAAAAAAAAAAAAAAAACTTAAGTGAAAAATCAGAAACAAGGAGATTTAAAGAGCAAAACCATGATTCAGGATATCTCCATTTCCAGGGCAAAGGGAAAAAGACCAGTTGAGATAAATTAAAAGACTTCTTAATCACTGTATAAGTGTCATGAAGAGGCAGCATGATATACCAGGAAGAACAAGGGCTCTGCAGTTGGAAGACCTGGATTGGGCCCAGCTCTGCCCATTACCTATAATCGTTCCAGGCCTGTTTTCTCATCTGTGAAAGGAGCTGACAATCCCTTTCCTGGTTGTCTCAGAGGACTATTGGGAGGATCAAATGAGACAATGTGTGTGCTGACAAATGCCACTGATGACAGATCATACTCTGAAATCATCAAGGATCTTAATGGTGTTGCAGGTCCAAGAGCCCCAAGGCTTATAAACTTCAGAGGCCCCACAGGTCTCCTAAAGGTATTACTCTGAACTTGAACTCAAAAACACATTTTAAAAAATCGCCGGGACCGGTTTGGCTCAATGGATAGAGCGTCGGCTTGGGGACTGAAGGGTCCCAGGTTCGATTCCAGTCAAGGGCATGTACCTTGGTTGCGGGCATATCCCCAATAGGGGGTGTGCAAGAGGCAGCTGATCGATGACTCTCTCTCTCATCAATGTTTCTAACTCGGTATCTCTCTCCCTTCCTCTCTGTACAAAATCAATAAAATATATTTTTTAAAAATGACTGCCATGGCATAGCACATTTAACTAAAAGGCAAGAAATTAGGGTTTTCTTTGCCACTAACACTTGCTGCATGACCTTAGCAAGTGACTTGACTTCTCTAGGTTTTTATGTAGGTCTAAAATTAAGAGATTGAAAAAGCTTGCATCTCAAATCCTTAAAAGTCTAGTATTAAATGGAAAAAACTTTTCCTAACTAAAAAAAAAAATAAAAAAAAAATTAAGAGATTGATTCTGGTTAGCATAGCTCAGTGGTTGAGTGTCAACCTATGAACCAGAAGCTCACGGTTCAATCCCCAGTCAGAGCACATGCCCAGGTTGCGGGCTCTATCCTCAGTAGAGGGTGTGGAGGTGGCAGCTGATCAATTCTTTCTTATCATTAATGTTTCTATCTCTCTCTACCTCTTCCTTCCTCTCTGAAATCAATAAAAATATATAAAATATAAAATAAAATGAGGAAATTGGGCTAGATCATATTAAAGTTGTATGCACAAAATTGTGTGTATATATATAAAGTATGTGCATTTATTTGTATTTGGATCCTCAGAGAGATCTGTCAATCAAAAGAAGTTAAAAGCCTGCAGCCTGAATGATCTCAAAGATTTGTTCAAACACTGTAACACTCTGACTCTGTGGCTTCTCAGCAGTGGTCACAGAATGCTATCTTCCATATTATATTCATTTGACACATATGAAAATTGAGAACCAGAGAAGTTCAATAATCATCTCAAACTCAGAGCTTTTGGGGTTGGAACATGAAGCCATCTCATTCCAAAACCTGTGTTCTACTAATCCCATGTTGTGGGTAGCATGGATTTACTTTTAACTCTCAAAATCAATTTCATGTACCCATTCTCTGACTACCATCTCTCTTTCTCACCCAACCTGGTATCCCAACTCCAATAATCTTTCAACTCCACCAAACCTACCATATCTCTACTGTCCCTCACCCCTTGAGACCTCTCACCCCTCATTACTCAGCTGAGGTCAATGTATATAATCACTCCTTTTCATACATCTTCCATTCCTTTACCCTCTTACTTTATTTTCAGAGATGCTTATAAATCCACTACTCAGTTAAATCCAATTCTCTACCACCTCCACCCTTGCATCTATGCAGCTCAAAGTGGTGGAGAAAAAGACAATCAAACCAACTGACCTCACTTTCAAGTCATGATCACCAGCTTCAAGTGGGCCCTTCCTGTCACTGGGGGTCTCTCACCCAACCTCCTCGGTCTATTTTACATTTTTTCCTTTCTCCTTAATTCTCTCACACCTGCTTTCCTCACTCTCAGTTGGTGTTGCTTCCTATTTCACTGAAAGAATGGAAGAGAATTTCCATTAGAAACCTACCACCACATGCCCCGCCCTGCCAGCATCTGCAGTGACATCCTCTACCTTACACCATGCGCCATCTAACCCATCTTCTCTTGCCCACTGGATGCTCTATCCTGGCAATGCCCTCTGCTCCCTCTTATAGCACCAACTTTTCTCAAGTTCAACATGTTCAAAATCGAACTCCTGATCTCCCATTGTATGTTTCTCTACCTGCAGCCTTCCCTATCTCAGTGGAGAGCAACGCCATCCTTCCAGTCTCTCGGGTCAAAACCCTTGAAATCAGCCCTGGCAAGTGTGGCTCCATTGGTTGGGCGCTGATCCCGTGCACCAAAAGATTATGGTTTGATTCATGGTCAAGGCATATGGGGTTGTGGGCTTGATCCCAGTAGGGGGATGTGCAGGAGGCAGCTGATCGATATACTGTTACACTCTCACATTGATGTTTCTCTCTTCTTTCTTCCTCTCTCTAAAAATCAATAAACTATTATTTTAAAACAAATGAGCAAACAAAACAAAAAAACGTGAAGTCCCCCTTGACTCCTTTCCTCATGCCCACATCTGAAGGCAATCCTATTGGCTCCATCATCAAACTATATCCTCCTCTGATCCCTTCTCACCTCTTCCTCTGCTCCCAGAGGTCTGAGCCCCCATCACCAGTGTTATAAAACTTGCCTGGATAATGCTTCCTCACACTCATCTCCCTGCCCCAACCCTCTCTCCTTGCAGGCTGTTTCAGAAACTGGAGGGATCTTCCTAAAATACAAGTCAGATCTTATCGCTCAGAACTCTTAATGGTTTCCTATTTTCACTGAGCATCAAAGCCAAAGTAGTTATGACAGCCAACATGATCTGGCCACCCAATGTGCGTTACCTTTCTACCCTCATTTCCTACTGCTCCGCCTGATTCTCACTGCCTCAGCCCCTGAAAGGTACACTCCCACCTGAGAGCCTTTACAATGGCTCTACCCTCTGCAAGGAACTCTCTTCCTTCTCCCAGATGCCCACTGTCAGAATCTCACTGCCTCCCCACCTTCAAGCCTTTGCTCACTTGTGCCTGACTCAGTAAGTCTACCTCATTACCCTCTTCAATACTATACTCAACCCACTGTCCCACCCACCACTTTCAATCCCCTTCTTCTGGCCTACTTTTTCTCTTCCTTAACACTATCTTCCAGCACACTATTTAATTTACTTATGTTTATTATATATCATCCCTCATACTTCCCCTTCTTCCTTCCCCTCCCCTATAGGTATAAACCCCATAAGGGCAGGGGCCTTTGTCTGTTTTGTTCTCTGAAGTATCTCAAGCAGCTAGAATAGTGCCTGGCACATAGCTAGCCCTCAATAAAACTTGTTGAATAGAATGACTGAAATGAAGTCTTTGAGACTTAACTATCTTCTGAAACTGCAAGCTGTACTTCAGCTTACTAAAAAGAATTAAAGAGTGACTAAGGAGAAAAATGAAAAGCTAAGAGGCCATTACAGAGCCTATAAACCAAGAGCAGCCTCTTACCATCCTTCGCATACGCCACACAGTACACAGTATCTTTGTGTCCCTTTAGGGACTGAAGTAAGGTGCCATCAGAGGTGTCATAAACCTGGCAAAAAAAAAAGGGACAAAAGTACATATTATCCACATGGCATTCATTAGTTAGAATTCCCACAGGCTGCTGCTGCTATTTTGGTTTTTATAATGTGGACTAAAGGGGCCATATGCTAACCTGACAAACACAGGGAAAGTCTGCATGGCAGTCTTGCAAACTCAAAGACCTAAAGTAACCACAAAGGATGGAAATTAAACTTTAACTAAAAGTAGTTATGGTGGGTAGTCACCTTCTAGGCCGGTATTTTCACTGACATGGTCAACTTTTTCCTTAACTGAGCCTATCTGTCTTTTTGAATCTATAACATCCTTGAAATGTCTGGGTAACTGTAATCTCCCTTTTTCCGGACTTCTTGGGGTACAACCTAATGTGCCTGGGTGCCAGGACAGCTACCACAAATTCCTTCATTGTTATTGTTATGTTAATTGTTGACTGCTAATGATCCTGTAGCTACCTACGTACATGTCTATCATTTTACTTTTTATCCAATCCCAGGATCCCCCCTCTTTGCTTTCTCCCACCCCTCTAATATATCACCAATGGATTCCATGTCACCCCCACCTACATCCCTTCCTTTGATTTGCAATGTATAAAAATTGATAAGAAACCACCATTCTCTGGAGCATTATCCCAATCTGTTGAGATACTGCTTCCCGGGCAATTGTTGACAGTTTGACTCAAACTCATAAAAATTCTTCACAGGTTTGAATGTTTTTATGTTAACAATAACAAAACATTCTTAAATGTTCTAAATGTGTAAAAATTGCACTGACAAACCAAAAAAAAATGTGACTTAATACTGAGAAACCCAAGAAGTAGAGGTCCTGATTCTATGCATTTTATTACCAGAAACATACTGTTAATCCTCAAGAAACAAAAATTTACTCTGTGAAACTTCTCCACAAACTTCACTCATTCTTATGTGAATTTGAATATATTACCCATCCAACTAGACCGTCTCAAATAAAGCCAGTACATAGAAAGAACCACCTACAGCATGATTAAATCTTAGAGGATGTTTCATATTTTGTTACCAAGAATTTGAAAGTCACAGACCTGAACTCTGGGTTTGCATATCACAGGGAGTGTCATAAAATTCAGCTGTGAAGTGGATTTAGGATATTTTACAGCTGTGTAAGATCTATTACTATGTGGAGATTTTAAAAAAACGCATCTGAGAAACCAAGGCAAACCCCTCCAAAAACAATCAGTGTTGGAGAAAATAAACCACGGAAGGGAAAAAAACCTAAAAGGATTTAGGCTCTTTACCCTGAGAAAAGAAGTCTGCAGAACAATTTAGCCATGACTTTAAGATTATGTAGTTACCATAAAAGAACGGAGATCAGTCAGGCTGCATATTTAGAGACAACAGAGCAAGAGGAAGTCGACTTACGCAGAAGGAAGGAGACATCATACAAAGGTTCTTAGGTCAAACATAAAAAGTTCTCTGAAAATTACTTTTATACGCTGGGATAGATTCCAGAGGGGGCTCATATTCTTTGAAAATATGAAAAATAGCTCAACATCCATATGGAGTTGTTTAGGTAGGCCAATGCCTAAAAGTTGGGGTCAGACTATCTGGCTTCTCATGGAGGGAGTCCCTTCAATCCTGTTGCTTGAATTTTTCAGGGGGACAAAATGTGAACTGACACCAGCCCAATTTCAAAGGCATTTTGACTAATTGTTTTCAACATTCCATGGATGTCTCAAAGTAAAAAGGGAAAGATTAATGATTCCAAGGGAGGTATTGTTCACAAGTTCCTATCTGATAGACAGTTTACTTACCTGTTTTAAATAGCCCATTTCCTTCCCTATTAAAAAGTAATGACTGGTTTTTCTGCCCTTGCCTTTTTTATCTCAAAAAAAAAAAAAAAAAAAAAGACAAGGTGTGTCAAATTTCAGGGTACTTAAAGAAGGAAAAGGGGGGGGGGGGGGGCGGGGGAAACCCAGACAAAATCCTACCAGTAATCTGTTTCCTGCAGCCAAAATCAGTTGGGTTCCATCAGGCTTAAATGCGAGGTCATATATACTAAACAGGAGAAAAGACAAGACAAAAGGACAATTAGGAACCAAAATGACGAGGTCTGCTAATGGCCAGGAAAGCAAACTTTATTTTATAACTGCCCTGACTGATATGGCTCCTCCGCTAGTTGGGTGTTGTCCTATGCACTGAAAGATTGCTGGTTCAATTCCCAATCCGGGCACATGCCTGAGTTTTGAGCTCAATTCCAGGTAGGGGGCATGCAGGAGGCAGCCGATGGATGTTCTGCTGTCAATGGGTGTTTCCCTCTGCCTCTCCCTCTCCCTTCCTCTCTCTCTAAAAAGCAATTTTAAAAATATTTTTAAAAATACCATAACTATTTCCAATTAATCAGACACTTACTGAATGCCTCTTCTAGGCACTAACAGATACAAGATTCATAAAACATAGTCCCTCTCTGCCTTTAAAGAAATTACCATCCAGTGGGAAGGGGGTGAATCAGACACATTCACAAACTACTTCTACATGTCATCAATTCTAAAGCATACATTTCCACATCTTTCATCTCTGAAGTTGGAATGTGTCTTATAACTGACTAGAGGCCTGGTGCATGGATTCATGCATGGGTGAAAACAGCCCAATCCCCACAGGCAAGGCCAAGGGACCCCACCATTGCACAAATCCATGCACTGGGCTTAGTATGCATATAAGAACTTTAGTTAATCTCTTCCTGCCATCCCCCTTCCCCTTCCCTCTGAGATTCATCAGCCTGTTCCATGTTTTGATGCCTGTGTGTTGAGTGTCTGCCTCCTGGTGGTCATAGCTACCAGTTAACAGTCAAATGGTCAGATGGTTGCTTAGGCTTTTCTATGTATAGATGTTGTGTCAGTTTAACTGGCAGCGTTTTTTTGTTTTTTTAGTGGTATGTAAAATAATGGTATTTTAAAATCTATGACCTCTTAGATTAGATGAAATTCAGAGTAATACTGTGATAAAGGTTTTAGGAGAAATAAACCCATGCCTTTATAGTCAATTAATATTTGACAAAGGAGGCAAAAACATAAAATGGGATAAAGACAGTCTTCAATAAATAGTGTTGGGAAAAATGAACAGATGCATAAAAAAAAAATGAAACTAGACCATCTCCTTACACCATACACAAGAATAAATTCAAAATGGTTTAAAGACTTAAATGTAAGACTAGAAATCATAAAAATCCTAGAAGAAAACATAGTCAGTAAAATCACACAGCAAAATTTTTTCTGATATATTGTGCCTCAGGCAAGAGAAACAAAAGAAAAATAAACAAATGGAACTACATCATATTAAAAGTTATTGCACAGCAAAGGAAATCATCCTCAAATGAAAACAAAATTCACTAAATGGAAGAACATATTCACCAGATACATATGATAGGTGATTAATATCCAAAATATATAAAGAACTTATACAATTCAACACCAAAAAAAACAAACAATCCAATCAAAAAAATGGGCAAAGGACCTGAACTGACTCTTCTCCAAAGGAGACATACAGATAGCCAATAGATATATGAAAAGACTAGAGGCCCGATGAACAAAATTCATGCAAGGGGCTTGGATTTAAAGGGGGAAGGCATTCTAATTCGGAAAGAGGATCAGGAAAAGCTTCATGAAGAAAACAGCACTTTAAAAGGGTAGGATTTTGAGACACAGAGATTGGGAAGGTGCAGCATTTCAGGCAGAGAACAAAGACAAAGACATGAAGGGGGCAGATTAAGTAATCAAATTTGACTGAAACACTTGACTATGTGCAAGGCAGTAGGGAGAGATAAGACTAGAAAAATAGGCAGGAGCCATATTACAAAGATTCTTGAATGCCCCAGAGCAGTGGTTCTCAACCTTCCTAATGCCGTGACCCTTTAATACAGCTCCTCATGTTGTGGTGTCCCCCAACCATAAAATTATTTTCGTTGCTACGTCATAACTGTAATTTTGCTACTGCAATGAATCATAATGTAAATATCTGTGTTTTCCGATGATCTTAGGCTCTATAGCAGCGGCTCTCAACCTGTGGACCACTGCCCCAGAGGATTTCATTGGTTCAGATGACTGCCAAGACACCCTATTATAAAAGTTTAGCATGAGATAAACTTACCTGGTACCTGACAGTAATCTAAAAATACACACCTCTGGTAGCAGTACTTGGAGCATTTGCCACAGAGAGAGCTCATGCTAGCTCTTCAAACGTTTTATTTTATTTCAGTCTCACAACAATTTTCTGAGGTAGGAATTACCACTTGGTTTTGCAGTTGAGGACACCATGGCTCAGAGAAGTCAAGTATCTCCCCCAACATCACAGGATCAGCAAGTGAAAGGGCTAGGATTTCAACTCAGGTCTGACTCTAGAGACTGTGCTATACTGCCTGCCTTTCACTCTCTCGATATATTGTCAAGTATGACAAATCTCTATTGCCTTTAATGTTTTGATAATGACAGTGGCTAACATTTATTGAGCACATTTTATTTATTAAGTATAATTTAAATCCTTTACTTGTATTAATTAAACTTAATCCTCACAACCTTACACCTATTTTTCAGACAAGAAAATTAAGAAACAGAGAAGTTAAATAATTTGTTCAAAAATAAATTGTTATTGATTGGAGGTGGAGCCAGAATTCAAATCCAGACAGTCTGGCTCCAAAGCCCAGGTTGTAACCATTATGCTTTGTGACATTCATTATCATTTTATTAGCATTTGCCATAGCTGACAAAATAATTAACAAGGGGGTTTCCATGCTTTATCACAGATTTTTTAAAAAGGCATTATATCAGTGCATTTACATGTAGAATTCACAAAGTACTAATAAAGGCTCTGTAGACTTCAGAAGCTTATTCTTTTTTTCTTTTTTAAATTTTTAAAATTGATTTTTTTAAAAATTTATTTTATTGATTTTGTACAGAGAGGAAGGGAGAGAGATACAGAGCTAGAAACATCGTCGATCAGCTGCCTCGTGCACACCCCCTACTGGGGATGTGCCTGCAACCAAGGTACATGCCCTTGACCGGAATCAAATCTGGGACCCTTCAGTCCCCAAGCCGACGCTCTATCCATTGAGCCAAACCGGTCCTGGCTTAAAATTGATTTTAGAGAGAAGAAGGGTGAGAGGGAAAGAGAGATCAGTTTGTTGTTCCACTTACTTATGCATTCATTGGCTGCTTCTTGTATGTTCCCTAATTGGGGATCGAACCCACAATCTTGGTGTATCAGGACAATGCTTTTACCAACTGAGTTACCCAGCCAGGGCCTGTAGAAGCTTCTTAAAAGGAAAAATAATTCTTCACATGTAACCAACAGTCAAGAGCTGTTAAAAGATTGTAAACCGCCCTAACTGGTTTGGCTCAGTGGATAGAGCGTAGGTCTGCAGACTCAAGGGTCCCAGGTTCGATTCTGGTCAAAGGCATTTACCTTGGTTGCAGGCACATCCCCAGTGGGGGCATGCGGGAGGCAGCTGATTGAGGTTTCTCTCTCATTGATGTTTCTAACTCTCTCTCCCTTTCCCTTCCTTTCTGTAAAAAATCAATAAAATATATATATATTTTAAAAAGAGTGTAAATTTATATTACCTCATTTGATCTTAGGATAACACTAGAGGCTTGGTGCATGAAATTCATGCATGGGTAGGGTCCCTAGGCCTGGCCAGTGATCAGGGCCAATCAGGTTCCCTGCCTCCCTACCTCCTCCTTCCCTTGCCACCCATGTCCACTGCCACCCATGCACAGTTCCCTGTCCCAGTCCAGGGGCCCAGCCCCAATCAGGAGTCTGCCTCCTGGTGGTCAGTGCACATCATAGCAACTGGTCATTCCAGTCATCCCACCATAACGGTAACGTAGGCATATATATATATATATATATATATATATATATATATATATACACACACACACACACACACACACCAGTGGCTGGTGCACAAAAAAGGGAATTAATTAGAGGAAATATTTTAATATTGCTATTTCCCTTTCTCTATTAAAAAAAAGTGTCAGAAATAAAATTAGTAAAATGTATATGAAAATCTCCCTCCTGTTAGAGTCTGGGGCGCACCATGGGACCTTGAGTTAAGTTGCCGCTCACCACCGCACACACTTCAAAAATGCAGGAGACCCAGACGGGGCTGGCCTCACCCCTGTCAAACCCCTCCAGGCGGGGGTGGGGATTGCAGCCTCAGGTCTCCTGGCCAGGCACCGGGATGGGGGGCATGGCTTGGGTCCCCGTCAAGCCCTGTAAGATGGAGAACACAGCCTGAAGTCCCTCGCCCAGGCCAGGCGCCATGCAGCCTCAGGTTACTGCTGATCGGTCGTGACATTATGGCATCCCGGATCATTTGCATATTCCTCTATTATATAGATAATGCAATAGCAGGCACATCATAGCAATGAGGAAACTAAAGAACAAAGGCAAGTCATGTGTCTTTTGCCCCACAGCTGGCTGATGGAGAAGCTGGAATAAGGGTGATTGTTACACTCTTTCCAGTTGGGCTTTCCTCTTGATAAAAGCAAAGGCAGACCCTGAGTTCACTTTCCTCTCTGTTACCTGGCAACAGACTGGGTCTTCCTGTTTCTCAGGCTTTCTTTCTCTGCTTCTAGGGGAAAATGTACTTGGTGCATTTCACACTGGGGAGATGTGGGGTGATACAGTGAAAAGGTGAAAAGTAAAGAGGAGCTGGGCCCAGAAGAGCTGGCCCTTTCTGAGCTTTTGTCCTCACCTACAAAACAAGAGGGAGAACTGTGTATAGGCAAGCCTTGTGCAAAGCATCTGCCATCTGAGGGTTGTATGATGAGGTATTAGATTTTGGAGGAGGTCTGCACCTATGTTTATAGTAAACATAGGATATGTGGCTCCCTTTCTGCCTTGTATATATCTTAGTTCCTCCAAGTGGCTGAATTATCAGAAAAGCATTTCTGAGTATTCCATTTGGGTCAAGCCTTAAATTATCTTCCCTCAGATGTGAAAATTCATTTTCTCTGAATTGTTTGAAATTTGTCTTCCTAAATTATAACATACATGTCTGATTTACCCCAACCTAAATTCTTACTGTGCTGTACAATCCAATTTAACTCTGAATTATATAATCTTCCACATTTTACATTGTTTCAGATACTATCTTGTGTCCTCTGCATTAGAGTTATATGCAATTTTAGGGGATTGACCCTATTTTAGACATTTGTGGACCCACATGCATGGCCTTATCCTAGATACATAATGAGTAAAATCGACAAACTGACATTTTATCTTGAACCCCTTGGCCTTTAATTATACCATAAAATCACTCAGAAACTCAGAATTGGACAAGACCCTAGACCTTGTCATGTGGTCTAACTCCCCTGCCAGGTCAGGAATTCCCTAAAGATGGGCATCAGCCTCTGCTTGAACACTTCCAGGGCTGGGGAGCTCACTCTTCTATAGGCAGTCTATTATCCTGCAGGATGTCCCTCTTTCCCACCCCATCCCCTTTTATGAAAAAGATACATCATCAGATTCCATTGCAGAGAGACAGAGGATGAGTCCTGCAACTTGTCTTCAGCCAACCGTATGCCTACCTCACTATAAACTGAAGCCCCAAGGAGCCTCTCTAAATCTTACACAATCTGACCCAACCCCACTTACTTGTTTTGGTATCTTAAGCAAATTGTGTCACCTCGTTAAGTCTCAGTTTTTTTCACCTGCAAATGGGATAACACTTCCAACCTCCCAAGTTGCTGTGTATGTTTAAGAAGGTATCGCATGTAAACACAGTCTGGCTTACACAAGAACTAAGCAATTCATACTGGTATGAATTAACTCCAGTAAATACGAGGGTTATAATAGATGCTGGCCTGCCTAGAATAAGGTGGGCTAGCCAAATAAGGCATCATAGTAGAGCACTGTTTTTAAGGAAGAAAAAGAGGGAGTTCAGAGAAGAATTACATAGCAATTGGGAAGGGCCTTTGGATAGGAAAATGGAGCGTTTAGCTGAACTGAAAAGCATAAATTTAAATGTTAGGAATCGAGGGTGGAGAGTAAGTAGGGCCACCTAGTTAAATGCACAATTTGATTGGGAGGAAACTGGAAGTCACTGTAGGTTTTTGAGAAGTAGAATAACAGATCACAGTAATAGGACTCAAATAAGAATTCCTGCTGATATTGAAGGTTAGACTGCAAGTAAAAGATCAGAGAGGAGACAGCAGCTGGTTTAGTTGTCTTTGACATCTGAGATTTTTTGAGTTCTACTATCTGTCCCTTACAGTTTTTTGTTTTGTTTTGTCTCATTCTGGGCTCTCAGCTGGCATATGCAGCTGTCATCAGGATTGCTGGTGACATACTCTAATAGGTTGTTTCAAACCTGTAATGAGCCAAAAATGAAATAACCGATCTTTATTCATCATTCATTCACTCACTTACACATTCATTATTATATCTATCAATCTACTCACCAAATAGTCACAACCACCACTGATTTATTTGACTAGGCTAATTACTAATCTGGAAATGAATAAAACATAGCTGTTGTCTTTAAAGATTTTATAGACTATAAGATAAATAGAATCACAAACAATTCTTATATTAGACCAGTAACTTTCAACCTTTCTCATCTCATGGCACACATAAGCTAATTACTAAAATTCTGCAGCACACCAAATATATTTTTTGTCAATCTGACAAACACACACACACACACACACACACAAATGTCATTCACACAGCTATTATTGTGTTGATTCTTATCATTTTTTTATATGACAACCTAAGGGAAAAGAGGTCAGAACCTGTGGGCCAAAGGGTCTTGGGTTCTATTCCTGGTCAAGGGCATGTACCTAGATTGCACATTCGATCCCCGGCCCCAAACAAGGTGTGTGCAAGAGGCAATGAGTCGATGTCTCTCTCTTTCTCTCTCTCTCTTCCTCTCTCCTTTTCACTTTCTCTAGAAATTAATGGAGCTCTGTCGGTGTAGCTCAGTGGTTGAGCATCTATCTATGAACCAGGAGGTCACAGTTCAATTCCCAATCAAGGCTCATGCCCAGGTTGTGGGCTCAGTTCCCAGTGTGGGGGCATGTAGAAGGCAGCTGATTGATGATTCTCTCTCATCATTGATGTTTCTATCTCTCCTTTCCTTTCTGAAATCAATAAAAAAATATTTTTTAAAAAAAATCAATGGAAAATATATCTCAGATGAGGATTAAAGAGAAAATAAGAGGTCAGTGCCCCTGATTAAATTGTCAGGAATTGCATGCTTTAAAAAGTCTTGTAGCACATTGGTTGCAAAATTATGCACTAGACAGTTCTAAGTACCATAAGATGAATGAACAAAATTCTATGACAGGGGTTAAAAACTAGGAGCAAATAGAGCTGAATTAGACTAGAAAATGTTTTGTTTGCCCCACAGGTTTTGGTTTGTTTTGTTAAGATTAGATTCCAACATATAAAAATTAGGACAGTTTGCATAAAAACCTAGATTTTTCATGTCTGGTGAAAATTGTAAGTTCTAAGCACAGTAGGCCAATTCCTGCATGATGGTATTTGGCCAGAGCTGAACAGCAGCTGTCCCTTTTAGGCAGAGCATGAGATCTCTAGTTTGGCACACTCTTTGTCACTCCCTATTACTCTCTGACATCAAAGCCAAATGTTCAGTTGTCAGATATCATTATCTTGTGCTGTAGGTACTTTTTAAGAAGAAAGTAAAAAGGAAATTTTTAAAACTCAAATCTCTATTAAAAGTCGAAGTAATAAGTTATGTGTTTCAAGGGGGTTGTAGAATAGAAGAAAACTCTTAAGAAAAAGACAATTCTTTGTATGTAAGAGGTGCATAAACATCTCCCAGTTATGTTGCCTGTCTGACTCCTGTAGGCATTTGAGTTTGCAGACCCTATAATACAAAGAAAAATTAATGTAGTGGATAAAAGCATTAGCTTTGGAATGAAGAAGACCTGAGCTTGGATGCTGGCTCACTGTGTGACAATGGCAAATTATTTACCCTCTCTGTGCTTTAGTATCCTCACCCATAAAATAGAGGTAATTATAGGACCTATATCAGAGGGTTGTTTTAAGGTGACAATGAGATCAAAGATATGATGTTTTAACCAGTGCCTGGCACATGGTGTTAGCTATTACTAGTGCAAAGTACAGAACAGAGCACGGGTTTCAATGTGAGGAGATGAGAAAAGAAGGCATGGTTACACCACACAGAAAAGCCTAAGAAAAGACGGAGAGGGAATGGCAAATATCTTGTGTCAAGGACCAAAACAAAGGCTTCACAATGAAGCTGAAAAGATCACTTGTGTGAAGATTTTAAAACTCAGCTGAGGAGAACTATCAAATAAAATCAGTATTTCCCAAAATGTGCCATTGTGTGATGAATTTAGGTGATAAAAATGGAATAGGGCATTACATAAGAGAATCACAAGGTGAGTGTCATTCACTTTTGATTCTCTCTCAAACTTTCTAATTAAGCACAGAGGAACGTCTGGGTTTGATGCTATTCATCTCAAGCACCTCTCTGACCATACTTGCTAAATCTCAAGTTCTAGAGATAGTAGACCTCAGGCTTAAAGGCTCCATAGCAACAGTATCTACCGTGTTTCCCCGAAAATAAGACATCCTCCGAAAATAAGACCTAGCGCATAGAAAGATAAGACATCCCCTGAAAATAAAATCTAGCGTAACTTGGGGAGAAAAATTAATATAAGATACGGTCTTCATTTTCAGGGAAACAGGGTAGCTACAACTCACCAGCAGTTCTGTTTCTCCTTGCTTTAAGTTGTTGTGGGGGGTTTTTTAATCCTCACTGGCGATATGCTTTTTAAAAACATATGTATTTTTATTGATTTCAGAGAGAGGGAGAGATAGAAACATCAATGAGAAACATAGATTCGCTGCCTCATGCACGCCCTCTACTGGGGATGGAGCTCTCAACCTGGGCATGTGCTGTGAGTAGGACTCCATCCTGCGATCTTCTGGTGCATAGGACCACCTCAACCAATTGAGGGGAGAAAGAGAGAGAACAAGAGGGAGAAACATCCATCAGTTGCCTCCTGTAGGCACCCCAACCGGGAATTGAACCGGCAACCTAGGTATGTGCCTAATTGATATCAAACCTTCAACTTTTTTGGCGCATCAGACGCTCCAACCGACTGAGCAATTCGGCCAGGGCTCCTTGCTTAGGTTTTGCAGATATCTTATTATAGCAAATGATATTTATTATTTAGGCGAAGATATGAGGGACCAGAAAAGAAAAACATCAAGTAAATAAAAGTATGGCTAATATGTGGGTAAGGCAAATATGTTGGAGAAACATGTCATGAATGTAAAGAAGGAGCCCAGGGCGTAATGTGCATAACGGAGTGACAGGACCAAACTGTGATGTGTGTACATTCCTCTGCCCCCTCTCCACGCCTGTTTCTCCATCTGCAAAGGGGGTGGGGTGGGGGAAGAGACCTCGCAGCCACCCAGTCCCGGGGTTCAGCGCCCTCAGCCTAGGCCGCCGGCCCGTTGCCCCTGGCAACCACAGGAGTGCACGCACAGGCTCCCGCCATCCCCGCCGGGGCTGGACCTCCCGTTCCTCCCGGAATGCCCCGCTCCTCACCACTGTTCGGCTTTATCTCTCCACGTCAACACGGCCCTCATTGCGCCTTCCCTCACGCCTCGGGCCCCTCCTCCCCGCCTCAGCAACTCGGCCCTCGCCGCCCGCCACTTCGGCTACCTGGGTTACCGTTGACAACGCACATGCGCAGTGAGCTACGCGCGCGCGCCTTAGCGAGTTAACCAAGTGCGCATGTCTGAAAAGGAGGGCTAGTACATAGGAACTGGGGATAGGGACTGGAGCCGAGCAGTCGCGTCTACGCAACTGGGGCGCGCCCGATTGGTCAGAATGGGCGGAGGGCGGGGCGTCTTCCTCGACAAAAGGATTCTATTGGCCGAGCGGTGGAAATTGCTGAGGCGGAGCGGGCAGCCAGGAAGCGGCTATGGAGTTTGACAGATTTTTACCGCCTTCAGCTTGAGGTGTTAGCCTCTAGCATTCTGAGCCGAAGGCATTTTTACATCTTACTCTGCTCCACGCCCTGGGCGTCCCCCGCCCTGTTGGCCCGTCTGGTGCAGCCGGAGTCCGCTGGGATGGAGAGTCCGAGCCGGGGAGACAGTGGAGCTGCCCCCTTCGCCACCCCTAGTGAGAGCCCAGACCCGGAGCGGCCGGGTGACCTCCGGCAAGTGATCGCCCCCTTTCGGGTCTCGGTTTCACCGCTTGTAAAGTGGGAGCGGGGGAACAAAAGTGGGTGGGCCTTTCCTATAGAGTCCACAGAGACCTCGGGGCTCACGGGTTCCTTACTTGGAATTAAGGCTGGAACTAAGTACTATTCTGGTGGGGTCAGCCCTGGGGTGCTCCCGACTTTCTTAACCAAAATGACGAGAGCTGGGAGGAGCAGGGAGTTGGTACAAGGAGACGTGTACCTGAGTAGGAGGGTCCTAGGAAGGAGAGGTCATGACCAGCAGCCAAGAGCGCCCCCAAAGTGGGTCCAATGAGAAGTAACAGAGGAAGCTGCAGTCATGTATTGAGTACTTGTATATGTGCAATCGGGGGCTAAAGTGAGTGACTTATTTTTCTTTGAAAATGTAATTCTTAGAATTACCTTAAAAGATATTATCTCTTTTTTACAGGTGAGGAAAGGAGACTGAGAGGTTAAGGAACTTGTAAATGTCAGAGCTGGGATTTGAACCCAGTATGTTGACTTTGTACTCTTTTCACCAGATTTCAGTTTCCTTATCTCTAAAGTTGTGAACTATATAATTTCTCAAGCTCCACCGAGCTTCCCAAAATTAAATGACCCAGACTTAAGTCAGACTTTGATTCTAATTTTCGTTAGGAGCTCTTTGGTTTCCCTATTTCTAGAAGTTGTAGTAGACATCATTGTAACCCATTCAGTTTTTGAAATTTGTGATTTAGTGATTAGGATATACGCTACTGAAGTTTTTCAATAATAGTACAGGGGGAGTAGTATTGGATTTAGTAGACCTGAGTTCTTATAACAGCTCTGCAAATAATTTAATCTTCCTGTCACTCAATTTTATCAATAAAATTAGAGTAATCTTTATCCAACCTACCTCATAAGATTATGAGGATCAAGAATGAAAGAGATTTGAAAAATCTGTATCATAAATTACCTTTTGGTAAGTAATCTGGTGAAAGTGATACTCTCCCCGAGAAAAAATTTATGTATATATAACATTTTTTACCTCACTTATTTGGGGAAGAGGAAGATTCTTTACTGACTCATGTAAGCAGGTCTGTTGATTCTAGGTTGAGCTCAGCATTTGGTTCATATTTTTAAATTATACCAGTGTCATCAGAAGTCTGATTAATTTTAAAAAGTTTCTAGCAAATAGCTTGAGCTTTTCATTGTGTAGAGATTTGCAACACTTTTTAACCCATGTTAGAGATAGAAGACAGTGGATGGCAGAAGGATATTCCCGTACCGTGTTTCCCCGAAAATAAGACATCCTCCGAAAATAAGACCTAGTGCAACTTTGGGAGAAAAAATTAATATAAGACACTGTCTTATTTTCGGGGAAACAGGGTAGCATAAAACTGGTCCATACTGATTTTAATCTCTCCCATAATCCAAATCCTCACCCCTGTTTGGCTTTATCTCTCCACATCAATATGGCCCTTATCGCGACATGTGGTTCCTGCTCTGTCAGGGATTTAAATCGAAGAAACAGAATAAAATCAATTTTAAATAAGCTAATCATTTATACTTTGTTTTTTCAGCAAGGAAAATGCTCTGGGATCAGAAAGAGTAGAAGATGGAAAACAAATGGTGATAAGCAGCAGCAGTGAGTGTAATCTCTTGCTGCAAGAGCCCATTGCTTCTGCTCAGCGTGGTGGTGCTGAAATGACAGAATGCCATAAGTCTGTCCCATGTGGATGGGAAAGAGTTGTGAAGCAAAGGTTATCTGGAAAAACAGCCGGGAGATATGATGTATATTTTATCAGGTGAGCATGCAAAGTGGTAAAGATAGTACAGCCAAATAATTTTGTTTAAACAGTTTGTGTGAAAGCATAGCAATTATCTTGACTTTTTTCTATAATTACCATTAAAACCATTATGGATTCTATTCCTTCAATGTCACTGATTAGTTTTATCAAGTGATTTAGGGACAAGTACATACATTTTCTCCTACTGTGAATGGTTAATGATAAAGTCGCACTTAAGTTATATTTGTAAAATTAATTTATAGTATCATATTCCTCCTCGTAGATGAAACTATTTAAAAATACCATTTTATCACTATTTTTATTTTAAATGACAAATACCTCCTGGCAACATTTGGAAATTATTAATTACACATCTGAAACGTGGTCTGATTCTTTTTTAGTCACTTTTATTTACTGTCAATGTTTCCGTTAATATCATTTTTAGCCCACAAGGACTGAAGTTCAGATCCAAAAGTTCACTTGCTAATTATCTTCACAAAAATGAAGAGACGTCTCTTAAACCAGAGGATTTTGATTTTACTGTACCGTCTAAAAGGGGCACCAAGTCAAAATATAAAGACTGCAGCACGGCAGCTCTGACATCCCATCTGCAAAATGAAAGTAGCATTTCAAACCGGAACCTCAGGACAAGAAGCAGGTGGAAAAAAGATGTGCTTCCTCTGCCAAGTGGTAGTTTGGAGTCCCAAGCTAGCAGGGAACTCTCTAACATTACTTCCATGCATTTGCTTTTGAAAGAAGGCGACGGTGTTGATGATGTTGACTCCAGAAAGGTTAGAAAGTCCAAAGAGAAGAGGACTACTGTGAAAGGAATTCAAGTTAAGAAAACTAAAACAGGGTGCCTGAAGAGTTTTCCAGATCCTGTTCAAAGTAACAGAAAAAGAGAATCTGTGTGTAATGAGGCAGAAGCTGAAAGTGAATCTGTTGCACAAGAAAGTCAGCTTGATAGGACTTTGTGCGTTTCTGATTCCAGAGCAAACAACAAGACCATCAATGTGACCAATGAAGAAAAGAGACTTGTAAAAGAAAAATCTTTGCATTCAGGATCAAATTTTAGTTTTGAACAAACAACTTCGGGCAGCATAAACATATTATGTTCGACCAAAGAAGCAGAACACAAGTGTGAGAATACCTTTTTAGAACCTGAGGAAATAACAACAGTAGAAGTTGGGGAAAGGAAGGAACATTTGCATACTGACAGTTTAGAATGTGGCTCTGAAATGGACAACAACTGCTCACAAACTGAGAAAGATTCCACTTCTGTTAAAATATGTCAAGGTACTCAGTGCATTTAAAATGCTATTTAAGATGTGATGAGGCAGTTTATATTCCTGGATACTGTATTTCATGCCTGTAACCGGTTAAGATGTGGGAGTAGAATGAAGAAGTAGGGCCAAAAATGAGATCTAGTCTACCAATTGATCCTAATGCCTTGTCTAACTGATCTTCAAACCCCTTCCTATGGCAGAGGGAGTTAGCTGGCTACTGCCTTGATGCCCCCAGTAAAGGAAAACTGTGCCATTAACAGCTGCTGACATCTCTCCCTGTGCAGCAGCTCGGACTCTGAACAGTGCTTTCCCTTCTTCCCATCTTTCCGGCCAGTAACCTTACAACCTGAGGGAAATGAAAAGGCTTCACATGGAAAAGTTTTGGGGAAGACTCCTTTAATATATAAACTGGTTGGGAATATTTATTACAGATGTGTGACTTCCAATTCAATTTCATATATATCATAGTCATTTTTATCATCTATGATGATGTAATGCTTCTCTAAACTGTTTTAGAGCTCTAAATAATTCAAAACTGTACTTACATAGTTCATCTATTATTCGTAATATAGTTTAGAGCTGAGGACTTTTGCCTTTATAATACCTCAGTGAATAAGAAATAAAAAGGAGACCATTTGAGCACCCTGATATTAGTTATTCATTATGCCATAATGAATAACTCGTTATTCATTATGGCATAATGAATAACTTTTAAAGAACAAAAGTAATTTTACGAGAGACAGCCTGGACAAATTGGTGGAGCAGGGGATTAGACTTTATTCCTGTTGTCAGGCCCACTCATGATTTTATGTCTTTGCTATACCTGGAATTTTTCCACCTTTAACAGAAGGTGGCCAAATATACCTAGGACCTGCGTAAGAATTCTTCACGTCTGTTCTTTAAAGACTTTGAGCTTCTTAAACCCTTAGGCATATATAGGTTTATTGCTAGTATAATGGAAAAATTAAATATTAAAAACATTCTTTTGCAATTCCAATAGAAGTATCTATTTATCTTATACATAAAGTCTAGTTCTCAATATAAGTTGAAGAACCCTTAGGTTAACAGATGTTCAGTGTAATAGTAAAGTCTCTCCCACTGGCTTAAGTAGAAATTTCCCAGTCTCCAGTAATTTATTAATTATTTGCAGAAACCCATAAAAATTTATCAAATAGCTAGTAAGCTCAGTTTCCTTTGTTCTTACTTTTTTTTTTTTTTTAACTTTCTAATAGGTTTTACCTATTTAAATTTGAAAGGCAAAAAACCCTAAACTAATTATCTGGAAAATGGAATACTTGGCCCAGTCTCCAGTTACTCCCACTATCATTTTGGAATGGTTGCTTAATTTCTAAGTCTTAGTTTCATCATCT